AATGTTATCATTTATAACGCAATGACCGAATTTAGGTGTGTAAAACTGCGGATCGAAGCTAGTATCATATCAAAATATATCTAAACAGCCAAAAGACAAATAAATTAACGGTACGAGCGAGCGACGGTAAGTAGCGATCAAATAGCAGAAATATGAACCGCAAGTCTTCAAGGTCAATATTTAGGTACTAGAAGATTAGAAGGCACAAGAGTTGAATAACATTGTATTACAAATCACGCAACGCACTCGTTTTTCGGCGGAGTCGCATTACCGACATAAACGGAGGATCTTTTGCCGAATATGTTATTTATGATACTCGATAATTAGTTGTCGGCAAAACAGATTTGAATATTATTTCGTTTCGTATATCACCGTAAGGGAGCGTTCAAGTATTACGTCACGCAATTTTTGGAGATTATTGACACCCCCCCTCCATGTAACGCGCCGTAACGTTTTTCTGTACCCAAGTATACTAAAATGTTTCATGACCACCTAGTGACTCTTTATACCTAAAAGTTACCATTATGTGGTGGTAAAGTACTGGAAAGTCGAAAATAATATTAAAAATATCGCGTAGGTAATTCAATCCCCACCCCGCATCGTAACGTTTTACAAAAGGACCCCCTCCCCCCCAAAAATCGTTACGTAATACTTGGACGCTCCCTAAATTATAAATAAAAATTGGGATTTCTGTCACAATTTTGTATGTTATATATATATTATATTTTCATGTAGTGTTTTTCGGTGACAAATATTGCGAAATAAATGTTTGTGCTCGGTATTTTTTTAACTATGCGATATGGTTATTAACTTGTACGATACTCACACTTAAATACAAATATATAACAAAAAATTCAAAACACAAAAACACAACATATATATATAATACAGTTTAGGGTTAAAGTCAAAGTCAACATCATTTATTCATATAGATAACAATGTACACTTATGTACGTCAAAAACATATATATATATATATAATAATATATGAAATACTTCTAATTTTACATTTACTGCCAGTTCTCAAATCAAGGGCGTAGAACAGAAGAGAACAACTGGCAATAAATTCTCCGCCACTCTTTTTAATCGCCAAGTTTTTTGTTTTATACGCTGTATATAACAGCCACTATATAGTAATAATAATAATAGTTAGTAGTAACAATTGGTCTAAGCAGGATGTTTACATTTTAATAGGTCTTATAAACACTTAGTCGGTACAAGCTATAACATTGAACTGTGGCCGTCTAAAGTCCAATAAGCATAGATTGCTTACATTTTACATTTAAAAATATAGGTAACTTGGAAACTGATAGTATGTTAACACGAAACAATTATTATTTCCCTGGGACGGGAAAAAAGGACCGCCAGGATCACCATAAGAGTTAACTAGTAGGTGATTGTGATTAACAAATATGTAATATATGTAGAAATATAATTGAGAGTAATTTGTAAAAAACATGGATTTTAGCATTGTGGACTACTTTGTTACTTAAGATGTCATGTGGAACATGGTGTAATGGTTGCAGCTTCCTTACAAACGTTGTGTAAAACAAAAATCTTGGCGATTAAAAAGAGTGGCGGAGAGTTTATTGCCAGTTCTTCCCTTCCGTTCAACGCCCTTTGAGCTGGCAGTAAATTTAAAATTAGAAGCATTAAATGTATAATTATTTTTATACTTTCATAAGTGTACATTGTGTTACCTATATGAATAAATGATTTTTGACTTTTGAATTACCTGTAAATATTCATTAATTTATCAAAATATCCATTATTATACAAAATCATTTTTATACTTCAGTCACGTGACACGAAACGGTCACAGATTAGAGCAAACGACAAAGACATGCTTATTTATTTATCTTTAGGGAAACATGACAGACACAACAAATAACAGATATGAAAAAATATATATACAAGTTATAATTATAGAAGTGTTCTAAAATTGTTTCGCAGATAAGATTTATTTTAAATAAAAGTATGAGTAACACGACTAAAAATAAAATGATAATAATGGGCACGAATGTAAACATAATTTATACATACATATTATAAAAGTGTAATGAAAAGCTAAAGAATCCCACGTTATGACACATAACGTAACATAAGAAATATTAAGAACATCGACAAGAAATATATTTTTTGTAGTGCAAACAATTAAAGTTTGGCGTTGAATGAATGACAATTAACGCACCAAAAACCGTACGTTTATTTACGTGCGTCACGCTACCTCAAAGGTACTTGTGCGACGCCATTACATGGAGAAATTTTGGCGGGTTATTAATATTATGAATATTTTATGTCAAAGCCTTATAGTACTTAACAGAATTAGTAAAATAAACAGGTTCCATAGTCACTAATGCATAACTTTACTTGTCAAATCGCCCATTAGTCCATTGAAATATTACCTGGGCTGAAGTCTGAACATTTTTTAGAGGACATGTACGGGGGGTGTCAATACAAGCTTAAACCCAAGTTTGTATGGTTGGCGCCCTTGTACCCCAGCCGCCATCTTGGAAAAAGGGGTGAAAACACGTTTTTGGCTATATCTCCTAAACTATGCATCTTACAAATAATTTGTAAAGACATATTTACACGACGTACAAATCTGTTTGCCTACAATTATGTCTATACGACTTTTTATCCACAAACTTGGGTTTAAGCTTGTCATACACGTCCCATAAATAAAATTGCGTCCTCTAAAAAACGTTCAGTTTGGCCCTCAAATTGTAACATGTCAATGGACTATATTGACAGACGTTCTCTTTGATAGAAAAAAACCATGAGTCGTAACAGTTAAGATAATGTTACCATGCGCTGTTAAAGGCAATAAGATAAAACTATTCCCAGCAATAAATCAGTCGTCACTCGAGATTTTGATGATTTCCAAAGAGCTCTTTCATCACTGTTAGTTGGATAATTAATGGATTGTTTTTAAACTATTTTTAAGAACTAGAACAAATACTCATTGTTTTAACTACAATTTATTTTTATACATAATGTACACAGTACACAGTAAAGTTTTGTGTTTTATAATGTATGTAAATACCAGAAACGCTACAACATTCTATGGTTTAGGCCTCAGATGTATGTATCTGTTTCGTGTTCATTTGTTTTTTCTAATAGCCTTGGTGATCAGCGATCTGTGCCTGACACATTACCGGTTTTTTACGATGTCTTTCTACACTTTACGAGCGAGTGTTAAATAAGCACATAGAAAATCCAAATGAAAGGGTTCAGAGTCAAACTGTACTGTGTAATAAAAGTTATAACAATTTAAAACATGTCCATATACATACTATATGCACAGGTGATATTGGTGTTGGAATCACCGGTATATTTTGAGGAACAATTTTATAATAAATAAACCTCTTTCATAGATTAACTTTAACTTTTTCACTCACTAAGCTAGCTATAAGTAATCAATATTATTTAGTATTCAAAGTACATCCTGAGTCAGAAATCAGAAGTCAGAATAACAGCAATTTCGTATTTAAAACGTGAAACTAAAGAATCCCACATTATGACACATAACGTAACATTAGAATTATTAAGAACATAGACAAGATATTCTACCAATTCAGTATCAGCATAAAGTACGACTCATATTCTTTACAAATCTGAACCAATGTTCGTAAATTTTATCATCAGGAAATTCTTTTACGCATAATACTTGCGTCAGATTGCTCTTGCTATTAAGTGGTAGGTACTCCACTTCTTTGCCCTACCTAGTAACACCTGACTGAAATGGAGAGCATTTCAGTCAGGTTCAGGAATTCAGGAAGAAATACGAAAAATTATAAATCTATTACGTAACATCAGATTCAACTGTTAATAAATCAATTTACATGAAATCGTAAACTTAACCGCACGACTTCGATTCGTGACTCCATCAGACGTTTTATAATATATTAAATGATAAGCCCATATCACCATATGTGTATCATTTACCTGCAATGAACTGCCGGTGTAATTTTTCAATAACCGTCACTCACCGGTCATCAGGCCTTCCCCTGCGTTGACTAATACTATTGATATAGAACGTTACGAATATTTACCAGCGTACCTACCGCAGATTTTTTTCATCGCGTGTATATGGAGACATCGAATGTTGGAACAGTTTCGTATAAAACTAAAAACACTTAAAATTAAAAGAAATTCTTATAGTCAGTTAAAAATTTAGTTTACAATAATTGTAAAATTTTAATAATAAGTCTTTTTAATTTGGTAAAGTGTTATTTTCTGAAACGTTACGGCGTTTTCGTTTATTTAAACGATAATAAAGCTCAAAGCTTTCTAACTACAAAGTTAGTGGTACCACCTGAATTGTACGTTTCATCGATTTTTATCAACTGTCTATAACTTATATTTTACAATTATTATTATTATTTCATCGAAAAGTACCTTTCGATTAACCCACGCGAGTTAACCACAAAGCCACGAAGGATTTCTCAAGTCTAATAATATAACAGAATCCAGTTAAAAATCACATTTTACATGAAAGTTCCAGTTTGATTTAATATTATGTAGATATAACACTGTATATAATGTACATTTATATATTATGATACATGAAGCCAAAGTTCATTAACAAATTAAGCAGGCAAAAAACCAAGAAAAAATGTAAATACCGGTTTGAAGTCACATTATTTTTAAACACCATTTTGATGTAGTAATTATACATGCAACAATTTGATCTTTGCCTTCAAATAATAACAAAGAAAAATATTTGTAATTCTATCTCTCAATTGTCATTCTGTTTAAATCTGAATTTATTAGCTTGAAAGTAACTATTAACCATAGTAGTGTTTTCCTTTCTTATGTTTTAATTACCACTTTAATAAAATTTTATTAACTGAGAATAGATATTTTTCATAGATTGCAAATTCAAATAACAACAAAATTATGTATACTTACCGACCTGCATTAGAAAAAAATACTAGGTACTATTACTACTATACTACTACAAGTACTGAAGATTTTCATAGACTAAAAACTAAGAATTAGATATTTAAAGTAGTCACCATTATAGCAACATTCTTATGGTGTACCTATAATTCAGTGAGGCAATAATATCTATAAGCTCATAACCCCTCAGTGGGTTAATGAGTACCCATTTCAGCCAGACCCAAAATAGTTGTTTAACTTTATTATAAATACAAAAGACTCACCTCGGCATTTTCATAAGCTTGTGGTCCACCATTCTTTTCACATTTCTCTTTGAACAGCTCCGTTGACTTGTTTTGGATGGCTTCAATTTGTTTTTGATCAACTTTACCTTGCAATTCTGGTGGTAAGGCATTAATAGCATCACCAATAGAGGTTTCGGTTGACTGACATGATGCCAAACCTAAGTAAACATGTAAATCAAAATCTATAAAATATCAAAATGATTTCTACATATTTAAAGAATTACTCTGCATTTTTTTTTACTTTCACTATAGTATTTCTTTTTTTTTACTTTTAATATAAGTAATTCAATATATTTAATTGCAATATATTACTTTATATTTTATTAAACTTACATATGCTTTAATACAAGTGTATTATTCCCTATTGTCATTGTTTAGTTATGTAAATCAAACAGTATAAATCAATATAAATTCAGATATTTTAATAATCACTTGGATCACATTCGTTGATTCTTGCGCTATCTAGTAAGAAGTGGGTAGTTTTTATTAAAATATATTTAATAATAAATTACTTTAAAGTGTACAATATTAAGAAAATATTTAAAACCAACTTACCAAGTATTAAAAAAATTAAAAAATAGTTGACAAACATTATTAAGTATTAGCTAAGTAGTAAGTTTGTTCAATTATGATATAACACTCGTAGAAATTTCAAAACAAATTAAACCGGTTTCGTTTTTAAGCGCTGTACTAAATACCAAGGTAATAAATTGAGATGACAAAGGGCGTTGCTGTTGTAAAAATTTAACCTTTCTCAATATATATATTAATTAATAATAACACAAAGTACAGGGAACCGTTCAACAGACAATGGCACTGACGATCGATCGAAATTCCGAATTCAACTGATTTTAAAATTGAAATTTGAAAAGCTAAAATATGTGGTATGTGTCACTGTCAAATACCGATGACAACGCTGCTGTCAAGTAAAACATGGCATTTAGCATTGCCAAAGTGATAAGAAAACCTTTCGCATTTTCTTTTTAATATTAAATAAAATAATATATTGCACTAGGAAAGCAACATAAGTACCTAAAATCACCATAGTTATTTACAAGATAACAAGTTAACAGCATCATTTTTTTTCTACTCAACGTAACATAGATATATATTTATTTATTCATTTAAAAAACAGTTTAGACGATGAAGAGATAAGAAAATATAAATAAAACAATATCTCTTCCTTCTATAAATTTGAGTTGGTAAAAATATACTTGTGAAACAAATCAACAAGTTTAATTCAGATTTAAGTAAAAGAATTATTAATATCTGGGAAAGACAACTATTAGTAGGAGTTCGTATAATAATTTGTATAGCAGCTGACGTAGGTATATTTTAGTTTGATGTTGTGTATTATTATTATCAGTTAAATTTTTATACTTAATCTTGACCTCAAATTTTCTATGTATAGTTTGGAGTGCTACGGATCATAAAGTCATGACAGATAGGTTAAAAGGCCGCATAAGGCGGAGAGAAGCATATCTCCCGACTAATTCTTGGTTATTTTTTATAAAGTCTCAAAACTTAATAGGTCAATAAATAAAATACTAAACGGAGTGGGATACAGGGATAGATTAAAAAGCGAAGAGCCGCAGGAACGAGGGCAGCACACAAAAATACAAGTTCCTTTTTTTTCGTTCTACCACCGTGCCATTGTGTCCAGGGACTTTATCCATCTCTTAGATCGATACAAAAAGATACTAAGAAAAAATCATACTTCGAGCTTCGCGTCTCGCGAGATACGCCCCGCCCCGGCTACATCAGTAATATTTTTATTTACAATATTCATGGGCGAGCCGGCGCGTAATTGCTTGCGAGACCCGTTCTTTTGTTTTTATTTGCGTCCTTCACATAACATAAAAATTTTAATAATATATTGAGCGTATAAGACTACGTTACGGCTTTGGTATAACTAAGCCCATATAAACATTGATGTATAATAGGTAGCCGATGCAAGAAACCTGTTTTTAATTTAAATTTATTTTATTTTTATGAACAATTGAGTACCTATTGTTTCTTTTATATAGTGATTTTTTTATCTAAATTTAATATTAAAGTTTTTAGTTTTTGATCAAAACATTACGAAGCGAATAAAAAAGTTAAATTATTACAAAAGATTATATGTTTTTTTGGTAGATTCAATACAAGAATTTAATATTTCCTAAAATGATCAATTACTCTAGTTTTTCTGATGGCATGGCATCTACAAATAAGCTGTCTATCAAAGACATTGTCAAATTTTGCGTGAAATTAAAATTAAAGTAATGAATTTTAAATTTTAAGATAAATTTTTGTGTTTTTCAACATAAACCTTTTATGTAATAATGATGATTATTATTAAATAAAGCCAGCTAGCATCTCAATTCAGATGCAAAATAATGTTCTATTAAAAATGAAGTAGTAACTTTAACTATGACTCGAAAGCGCCAATATGATTTTTATTGCTATCGCACAACTGTGCGTAATCAACGAGATTTAAAACGTAAAGGTACTCAAATTTCTCCTATATTTCAAGATATAAGTTTTTCACCCCCTCCATATGACATTAGCACGACTGGCACTACGGTTGATAAAAGCCCACCTTCTCGTAAAAATAAGCAAAATATTTGTAAATGCAGGCCAAAAACTTGGAAATCGATTGTTGATCTCTACGATAATCAGGATACCACTGTGGTATGGGATAACGAAGGTCCCATAACTAACAACTTAGAAGACCAATATAGAATTCATGATACTGCGAAAAAAAGCAACACCAAGAAGGATAAAAAAGTACGTTCACGATTATTTAAAAACAAAGGATCTTATAAAATTTCACGGAAAAAGAAAAAGCACAAGAATAAAGATAATAAAAAACACAATAATGAAGATGAGTTATTTGTAAAACCAAAGCTGTACGCTGAAAATAAGAAAATATGTCATAAAGGACCCTGTAAGGCAAATATAGAAGCTGGTAAGAAACACAATTGTAAGTGCAAAAGGGTTAAAGAACATAACCGAAAGACAACGACATGTACTGATAAGTCATGTAATATTTATAGAATTTGCAATCTGCCAAGAACATGCTTAGAAGCGATCTCTTCAATATTTCATAAAGGCCAAAATATTTCTCAACAATCTATAGTCGTTAATAAAAAGCCAATGTTTGCAATCAGAGTAGATTCATCGAGCTTACAGGTTTTAAACCCTAATGAAATTAAAACAAAGGTTAAGACTTTTGGTACAGTCGGCAAGAATGATAAATGTGTCTGTCCATCGCGATTAGAAAAAGCAAAGCGATATGGTATAGGTGAAACATGTGAAGGGGGTGTATGTGAAGCTGCCAGACATGGAAAATATGATAAATTTAATTGTCACTGCGCAAAAACAGCTCTTATAGAATGCTGTGATACGACATGTGATGTTAAAACCTCCGAGGGAAAATTAAAGAAAACCACAAACATTGCCCGAAAAATAGTACCAAAAGTTCTTGACAAACCAGTATTTGAAATGGTTTTAGATAATAATCATATGAACGTCTTAAATACTGGAGAAATTCATGATGTTTTGAGGAAGGCATCCTACTCTGACATGTGTCCAACAGGAATATGCAAAGCAACAGCTAACAAGGATAGAATATTGAACTGCAAATGCTTAAGTAAAAAAATATCGCCTGTACTACATGAGTGTAATAAAAAGACTTGTCAACCTAAAGATGAGTCAAAGAAGAAGTCGAAATTTTACATATGTACAAAAATATGCAGGAGCCTAGAAAACTGGTGTAAGAATAACCAAGGGGATATAAATAACGAAGAGATTGCTGATAAGCGCATTTATAAATATTCATTAAAAAAAAATAAGCCAGCAGCAAAGGCTCAATTAGCTACTAAAGTGAAGCCTGCAGTGACTAAGCTTAAGACAGCAGAAGTTAATCAAACTGCAATGACAAAACCTAAGAGATCCAGGCTTTGTTTTATATGTTCAAGAATATATAGTAGTTTAGGAAATTGGATTTATGTTTCAGACGATAATAAAGGGCAAGAACGTACTGAACCTCAAAGTAAACGGTGGCTAGGTGCGCCACGTCGAAATGTTCGAAATGAGCCGCCTTCTAAACATATTAAAAGCCCTAAAGTTTCAGAACCAAGTAAGTTAGAATATCTAAGTAACTCATTTATATATTACTAGTGGACCCCACAGACGTTGTCCTGCATGATATTTAAAGCGATTAGGATATTAAGCAAAGTATGAAAGTACCGACTGCAGTGCCATCTGCCGGGCTGATTTGTGAATCTAAACCATTCCCAGATCCCCTTGAACACACACAAAAAATTTCATCAAAATCGGTCCAGTCGTTTGAGAGGAGTTCAGTCACATACACACGCACAGAAGAAATATATATATTAAGATATTACATAGCGTATGAAAATGTATTTATTTTTAGAACGCAAGCCAAAGAATACAGAGAAAGTCATTAAAAATAGAAATTTACAAATACGAAGAAAAGGGATACAGTTAATTAAATCCGTAAGGAAATTAAAATTAGGAAAAGGTAACAGGTCATTTGCCGAAGAAACAAATAAAGCGATGTCCAAAAAGATGAAACAAAAAGAGCAACACATATCAAAGGATTCAAGAAAAAGAGAAAAGATGTTACTAAAACAAGAAAAACAGAAAAAAAAGGAAATAATGAAAAGAAAGCAAGAAATAAATAGGCTACATAATAAAGAAGAACATCACCTAAATTGTTTAGCCGCCTTTGTAATAGGTGTAGTTAATTTAAATTTACAGACTCTTAGAGGACTTATAACTGCTGTGTTAACCATTATTACTGATCCAATTCATTGTTATATTTACACCAAGCATAGACTCAAAGATCCAGTTGGTTCCTGTAAAATGTTTAATCATTGGCTCATTAATACCTGGAGAGCAAGGGATACTAAAATTTCGTCAATGGTACAAGATTCACACTTGATAGATGTATTGTCTGACCATATAGAAGATTCCGCTATGTTTCAAATGTTTACTAGTAAAGGGCAAACTCCAGAAGAACGTCAAATGTACGAGAGAAAGAAGAGAAGAAGACAGAAACGTATAAGAAAACGACATCAACAAGCTGTTTATAGTTGCCGTCACACACTCCTGATGACTTTGAGAAAACATCCTTGCTTATGGATATATCATATATGCCCATTCTTTTATCCACAGTGTTTAGGTCTTTTATCGTTTGTTAAAAACTTCTTTCATTTATTATTATATTTAGCAGCATTATTGTGTTGGACTCCGTGTATAATGTGTATGGAAGTAGTGCGTGCGTTTTTATGCTGTGTTGTATGTACTCAGTAACTATTGTAAGATAATATTGTTCTTTTAATATACAGTGGTAGATAACATTTTATTACTTCTTTTATGATCCTATACTATTTGAATTCTTCTAAAGTAGAATTTGTTGCTAAGATATGAAAGAGGCAATAGAAGTATATATTCTGGGAATTAGTAATCATATTAAGAACCTGAAATGGAGGCAAAGTTCAATATCAAGATTATACAGTGTCTTAACTAAATAACAATAAATAATAGATAATAAAAATAGTTTATTTGTAGCAAAGGTAACAACAGCAAAGTCTAAACAATTCCATAAGAATAATACATGGACACCACAAAATCCAAGTAATAATGACGAGGATAATTTGAATATTTTGTTTCCAAATATCTAAACACTTCAGACACTCTGGATAGGCCCATGGACACAGTCTATATATCCGTGTGTAGCGTGGTTTCCTAATAGTTTTCAAAAATATTTTATTGGGATCATCTTGAACTTTTGATTTTCTACCACATTTACGTCTGCATTTATGTCTGCAGCCACTTTCTTTATCGATAATTGGCAATCGGAAGAACTTTCTGACGTGACAACGGATTCTGTGTATAGTTGATCTTTCGCAATGTGTCTTAGATGATAATCCTTTGTTTGTACATTTCTTTGCACGTTTTTTGCATTTACTTGCGTTTTTACTCAGAATTGGTCTACAAGTTAAGGTGCTAGGTAACGTATAGCAAGGATTACAATAGCCAGAGCAACAGTGCCTGCATGTAGAAACTGGACAGTATTTACTGCATGGAGTAATAGAACAAACTTTGTGTTTCCATTTACAATTTTCACATGGTTTTACTTTACACTGGATACTTCGATTAACATATTTCTTTTTGAGTTCTGCAATTAACGCTCTTCTCATTTTTGAGTAAATCAAATCTTTACAATCCTGATTGCAAAACAAACAATTTTTTTTACATTGTTTTAACTGTGAAACCATCGCGGGGTTAATGTGATAATTTCTATAGGCCTCATTAATAAACATAAGTGATTGAATACATCGACAAGGTTCAAAATTTTTAGATTTCTTTAAATTAAACAGTGAGCAATTATTTTTAATCTTGTGTAGATTTTGCAGTATATGCCTTTGATTTTCTTGAGTTCCAATTGAACATGTTGGCCGCTTTCGACTCAAAATATTATTGCATGATTTTGAAAAGTACAAATCTTTAGTGCAAGTACAAATTGTAGGTTTAGGCGGGCAGCATTGTATACCAGTAGAATGACAAGCTATCTTGCACATTAGTTTCCGAGAACAACTTTTCTGACATGGAGTATTTTTCTTGGAGTTTTTGAATTTTTTTAAAGCTACCATAGTATGATCTGATATCTTGCTAATCCGATGTTTCCAAAATTTGTCCTTGTACGAATTGTTTCCATCCCTAATTGGCACCTTTACTACAGGGCATTGAGTCTGTACTGAAATGTTATGCTTTTTTTTATTAGAAGTACATTTTTCGCACGATTTTATGACGACGGAGTTTTTATTACACTTGCATCTTTTCGGAGTATATAATTTACACGTTGGTTTCTTCATTTTAGAACAGGAATGTTTTTTATATAGCCCTACTAAATTATTTTGTTTTTGTAGTTTACAAATTGGCGGTTGCTGAACACATTGAGTTTTCTTGGTAGATATTCCAGGCAATGGTAATTTATACATACAAGATTTATTGCGTACTGTAGTCTTAACAGCTACTTTTCTTGTACGCTGGTATTTTTCTAAAGTTTGGCATTTCGCATTACTGGTCGAACACTGAATTCCAATAGATTTTTCTAAATTCCGAAATAAAATATTTTTATCGTCAGTTCCGGATTTCATTGCTTTTCTATTATTCAGACAAGTCTGTGTTTTTCTCGTGTAATGTTTCTTTTGGGGCTTACATTTCATACTGTCTATATTATACTTTCTGTTGAATTTTTTAATAAGACTTTTACCCTTATCACAAATGTTATTCCCATTATTTGTAAATTGAGTGGAAAGACAATTTTGTAAGCAATTTTTAAGATTTAATTTATATCTTTCATTTGTTTCTCGATTTTGATCTCCACATTCAACTTGTATGTCGTCTTGAGTACTAGCACATCTCTTTTCTATTATAATTTGTTCGTGCGATTTCATTTGAATTTCCTGTTCAATATATTGGGTGGAATTATTAAGTAAAATATGTTCAGACATTTTCGTGTAAGTATCAAATCTAGCACTATTTGTATCACAACATACTTCTCTAGTAGCCACAATATTGGGTTCTCCACAAGATATGCCAATATCTGTTTTACTGGATTTCACAATGTGATTTGAACTTTTGATATCACAAGAATATCGTGATTTAAAAATACACTGATCACTTCTTTGTTTAAGGCAACTACATTTTTTATATAAACAATGTTCAGGTAAGTCAGGAAACTGTATCACTGGTACATTGTTACATTTTGTATTTTTTGCCTCATCGCATTTACAATAAAAATTCCAAAATCTTTGTAAAAATGGTTTAAATTTTGTTTTATTAGCACCACACGTGTCAGATACTTTATATTTTCTATTTATTTTATTTTGTTGTTTCGAAAAACTATCCGTATTAAATTTGTCTTCTTTAACTGTTGACGTTAATGAAGAAATTTTCTTTTTAAGTTTTCTCCATAGCGCAATTTTTTCTCCAGTTATACATATGTCCCTATAAAAGATTGCTTTGTTCACTTCCTTCTTTTTGTTGGAATAAAATAAATTGATGCTGCTTTTCTTTGTCTCAGATGAATAAAGGGAACTGATACTGTAAAAGGTCCTATTTCTAGTTTTTGCATATTTATTATGTTTTCTATAGAATCTCGCGTACTTTTCTGTTATATTTTTACTTGCTTTCTTAGTCAAATTATGTGATTTGTGGTCTGTTTTACAATTGACATTCACATGAATATTACTAATACTTTTAAAGTCAGTTTTACTTAATTCGTCTGAATTTTGGGATGGAGCGTCTTTTCTCTCGCTTTCAACAACGTGCTTGATTTCAGCTATATTATTTTCTTTGAACATTTGATACTCATCAGGGTTCTTCATATTTACTTTTTTCTTTATTTTTCCATTTAACTTCGACGATATTTTATAACATTGTGATGAAATTCTGTCCATTATACTGTCGTCTATCCAGCAACTTCATTTAATTTCATAGGACTTCGTTCTCATACCTTATAAAGGTGATGGAGGTTCTTGTTAATCAAGATTGACTATTTAAAGAATGAACTCATTAAAATAATGTATATTAAAATTAACCTAACCTACATCTAGGTCCTAAAAATAAAGTAAATGACATATTGCAATGTTAAACGTAATATTGAAATTATTTTAGCACTAATTTTAACAGAAACTGTCAGTCAAAGAACATTGTGCATTCAATGCATTCTATGGTATCGCTCCCTTGCCTTCGATGATGCCCCGAAACAACGGGTGCCCTAGAACCCAGAGGTGTTAGATTCAACAATTAAACAAGAATTGAAATTTTAAAGAGTAGAGACGCTAGTAATCTGTCTGTGTTTATGAAGATATTAAATCGTGGCTTTTATTTATTATCCGGCGATATCTACGTGATCAGCCCTAGCACACTCCTTTCCCAAACTAGGGACCGTACCAGAGTGTCGTTCGTAGAGTTCACTGTTTGTCTGTGAGTATGCCTCTGTGCGACCTGCCCACCTCAACAATTTCATTGACAATTTATACTATTTATTTTTCCTTTATTTTTAGTACCTAAGCTTTTTTCATAGAAAGTGCTGCAACAAACCAATAACTGACAACATTGAAAGGAAATGGAAGAGGCACTTACTCTTAAGATGGGATTTACTCTCAATACAATGATTAACCTTATTTAAGACAGTTAATAGTAAAAATAAACAATACATTGTTTTAGTGTAAATAAACAGATTATCATTATTTTTAATAAAACACTTTTATCATGTCTTAAATTTTATTAGAAACAACAATTTCATTTTTTTTTATTATTTGGACATAACATCTAACTTCTAATCGGTGGAATCGTTAAGAAGTTCTATTAAAATGTAGTTCCTTGCTAAGAGCTCTTTCTAGAACTCTATATCGTTTAAGCTTCTTCATTAAAACGCTAGCATGATAATCAAGGAGATTCATATCATTATATAAATCATTTTTTGTAGAATTTTCAATCACAGGTAAAGTGTGAGTTGATTTAGGCTTTCGTGATTTCGGAGTTACTCTCTCAATACATTCAGATTTGTTGAGAATCTTGATTTCGTTCACTAACTCCTGTATTGAAGTTCTGGTGCTATCATAGAAGTAATCATCGTCTTCAGATTGCATTTCTCTGTATTTATCTAGATATATCTTAATTGTGCGTTCTGTAATATTATGTTTGATTGTCGTATTCATAACGTCATCAGAGTATGATCGGTTCAACGCGACGCCGTGAATGAGCTGGCAAGCGTCGGATTTAAATTTACGAAATAAAGTACACGGGTTAATGCCGACATTTACGAAGAAATTCTCAAACCAATCTGTGAAATAGAATATAAGGAGGACAACCAAAAGAATGAGGAATACCATGGTCCCGTATCCACAAATAATTGAACTAGATCTCGGCGAACATCCAGCAGAGCAGATTCCTGATGTGTAACACTGTTTCATACAACAGAAGGCCAAGCACATTGGGAGTAAAGAACAACACTGCAAAACTATCGATATGTAGCTATGTACCGTGTGAATGCACATACGAATCAAGTCCTCAACCGCGAACAAACATGCAATAATAACTCTTGATATCATCTGCAGTGTACAGACTATTGGCATGTATATAGTATAGCACATCCTATTTTTTTGTTAATTTTTTTATGATTCCATATTTTTCAATTTTTTTCACTTTCTTTTTTACTTTCTAATTTTCATTATTTTTTACATTTTTTAAATCCGTAACATATATGCTAAAATGCACTGAATGAAACAAGACATTGTCAATCTGGTGTTTCTTAAAACGTTTTCCAAAGAGTATGCTTAGATATATTTTATCTACATATTATACATTCTCATTGTACGTTTAATATTTAGCCCAAGTTCCTTTATATTTAATTTATTTAGTGAAAAGCATTTGATTCGTTTAATTCTGCTCTGCACTCCTTTTTCGAAAAGTAGCACTATGATCATTTAAAATTATATGTAAACAATATTTCCAGTAGAAATCTTATATGTTGCAAATAAAGACTGCGACATTTTTTATTATTATTAACAGATATTAATATTTGATTAAGGTAGCTTAAATTAAAGAAATCAAAATATTCACTATGCTCCCAAATGTGTTCTACTTTCGAATACGATTTTCTAATTAATTAGCAGTGATCAATAAAGCTTTCAATGAGGAAAGGGTTTAGCAAATAGACGTACTTTATGCCTTAGGTTTTAATTATGGAGACAAAATAGGGTAAATTATCACAAACATAAAATTCCAAAGCAAGCTCATTCTTCAATATAGGATATAATGGTAGTCCAATTTTTGCTCATTGTAGGTGTTTGCGCTCTCATCAATTTTTTGATCATAAGATAGTAATTTGTTGGCGTTGGTGTTTCCGGTTGGGGTTTCGGTTCAGGTATATCATCTTCATTTTCTTTCAGTGGCTTTACTTCGACTCTGGATGTAGCTATAGTAACTACATCATAAAAAACCGTGGATTCCATAGTCAGCCACGGAGCATCTGTTATTTCATCGGTATCAGTGTAATCTGTATCATTTCGTGAACATTCAGTTATATCTCCGGGGGTAGGAACGAATCTAAGTTCTGTACTCTTTGTCTTTATATAGCCTATACTATAGAAGATTTTGTCAAGGACTCCGGTGGCCCGGAAGATGAAGAACAGGATGATGATAGCTAAAGCAGACATGATACAGTCGCAGGCGCCTCCTCTGTTGACTGGGCACGGTCCTCCTCCCCCACACATGAAACATTTGAGTCTCGCTGTCAACATGAACACTGCACATATTGGTATTAACGAAATCATTTGAAGCAGAAATGATATGAAGTTGTACATTGTCTGCAGGATCATCCGTATCAAGTTCTCTATCATTAATATGATGGTCATAAAGACACGAACGAGCATTTGGATACCGCATATTACGGTTTGTAGGACTGCGTGAACCGTGCGACACATCTTGAAATTTCTAAACAAAAAAATATGATATGCCAATTAAATATTATAGACAGTAATTGGTTGGCTAATGTAAAAACATATTACAATTTAAATACAGTCCACTCTTGATAGTTTGAAACTCAAGGGACTAGAGGTAAATTTCAAATCACCAAGAGTTGAAAATAACATTCACGAGGGAAAGGTTACTCAAGTAAATAAGAGTTTGATCAAAATTCGTGATTTATTATTTCTATATTATTATTAAAATTTAAATTAGCCCTATAACCAAAAGCCTAAAAAAACATTATGTAATATATATAATTATTACTCATACAATAGTTCAAGACCCTATGAGCCTACAATCTACGTGATCCGCCAGATCCGTGGCAGAAGCTTTACACATGAGTGTATGACCTTTCCTTATTAACTTAAGCTTGGTTTCTCCTGCCGGGTCCGGGCGACAACTAATCCAATTTAAGGATTTTTATAACGCTGAATTCTATACGCTGTTTTCCCAGCCGGAAGCCAGCAGGAATAAATCATCGCATGGCTCAGTTAGTAGCGTTTCTATACGTAAAGTATACCTATAATTTAAAAGTTCAGAATCCCCCGAAAATTATGTTTTTTCGGGAAAAATTCTGTCCATATAAGAACTATGAATAATAATTAAGTGTAAATTAAGATTATACTTAAAACCGTTACCAAACATTACTTGTGAAATGAGAATAACAACTTACGTGAAACCTACTCGTAGTTTTAATTTATCATTTTATTTTTTCATTAGTTTTTACGTAAAGATTCATGTGTAAAATGATTGGTAACAAAATCACTAGGAAATAATACAAATGATATGACAAGCATTGAGAAGCCGTCGACTATAAACAAAACCATAGATTATAGATAACGGTAATGCGTAGATAATGTAACTTTCTTAGTACTAATAAAACGGAAACCACAGCTAAAGAAACAGAATTAATCTTTTGCCTAACGTAAACTGTAACTACAGACTTAATAATTAATAATAATAATGAAGCCTCATTTATTCCTTGAAACATTTACAAAATATACACACACTTAAAATAAATAAATTATATATAGGGGAAGGTCGGGACCCTTCGTACGGTTTTCACATTTTATTTTTTTATTATTTTATTTTTCCATGAATCAATCATCTGCAAGCTTAAATTTATAGTCTAACTATCTGAGATTCATATAAGAAAATGACAAATGATTTCATCTGATGGTTCAACCATAATTATGATTTAAACTAAATCTGGAAAACGTACGAATCTACCCCATCAACGGGGCACCTTCGTACAGTGTTGAGGGTACCTTCGTACGCTGTGGGGTAGTTCCGTACGTGCGATTAAAACGACACATATAAATCAAAATTCATTTATTAGCAATGAAATTAAACACAAAAATAAAGATTTAACTTCTAATAAACAAAAATAAAATACTTTAACTATAGTGAACAAAAATTACATAGCTTTTCTTAAGAAAACCAAAATTTAATTAGTTAGGTATCTTAAATTTAGAATCACATTCTTTAATCTTTGGTGCGGATTAGCACTTCTTATTTTCGGGTGTGGCAGTATAAATTCGTGGTTTTCCTGGCCGTCGTCATTTTGTTTGTTTTATTACTTCTTACAACATGCGTATAGAGTCGAAACCCTTAAGGTGTCAAAACTGACTTCGAAGGAACTACTATTTGATGGATTGGTAAATTATTCAAAGCATCTGGTTCACATGCATCAAAATCAACCTTAATAAAGATAATAAAAATAGGTAATAAAAATACATCGACGATAGCAATGATAGCAACACAGGACAAAGTTAATGGAAATATTAGAGCAATTAGCACACTAACACAATCTTTCCTACCTACCAGAGGGTTTAGTCAAGATGCCTTATTATTATTTGTATGTAGCAAGTCGAAAACTTAATTTGTATGAAAATTACAGTTCGTGTCGACAAAATATTTTCATACAAATTTAGTTGTACAATTCGTTCAAATGTGCCCCATCTAGTGCTGTCCGAAAGTACCCCACTAACTGAATAACAACAAAATATAACTTATTTTAATATTAATAGGAAAACGTCATAAATTAAGTATTGGAGACGTATCTAAGTATATTTTGCTAGTTACTGATAGAATACTCTACACGAAAACTTATTTTATCTACGGTAACAAGAGACAAAAACATTGATCAAAAAATTACTTACCGAGCGCGAAAACACGTCCATGCCTGTAACTTCATTCTCATCGGTGCGAATTTCGCGAAACTTCGATTATGTATAGTTCGTACCTCGACTCATGCACACATACAAAAACAAGACTGTACTTTGTTTCGTTCAAGTTTTATTTCGACTGTATGAATGTGCCCCGCGTACGAAGGGTAACAATCTTCCCCTATATATATTTTCAAGAACCTCTTAAGAGTATATAATAATAATAATAATTTTTATTAATCAGACAAATACAGTCCATTGATTGATTAGTGAGTTAGTAACAATAGTTTCTTAAGATATATGTTAGAGAATTAGTAAAAATAAGGAAAAAGTAGTTAAATAAAAACTATCAGGTACAAAGCCCTGCGGAGATGTCGGAGCAGTGTCGTAAATAGGGGCACTCCATTCTTTCGACTATCATCAGTAAGATATAGCCCTCCTCCATTTGGCTACATTTCTCTCTCTCTCTCTCTCTGTCATGAGCATTTTTCTCTCAATCTTCTCCACCATATTCCTAAAGCCGTCACCTCACAGTGCAAGAGGGCGATCTCTCTTTCTTTTTCCTGGTGGCCCGCCCATTTCCATGTTTTTTGCATTGGGATAGTGCATCAATAACTTTTGTCTTGTTTCTTATTTCTGTACTTCTTGTCCTTTAGTTTTAAATTGAGTACACTACGTTCCATTCCTCGTTGACAAGTTGTTATTTTTCCGTTTGTGTTCGAGTCATATATAAATATATAAATTACTATTATTTATTAATTAATAAACTACAGAATTCCTTTAATTCCACTACTTTGATGATTTATATTCATTTAATTAAAGGCCTTAAAAATTGTACCGCAACTCGTTATTTTTATACATTACAGGATATTTAATATAATAAAAGCTCAATCTAAAAATCTGCGTTGGGCTAAATTAACTTGTAACTACATACTTTAATTAATTCATTAATTCAAAAATAAATTTCAATTGAACTCGTAGTTCATGAGATCAACCTCCGTCTTCCTTCTAAAGATGATTTCTCCGACTCTTAAAAAGAAAATATTTTTTCCCGTTTTTAGAACATTTTTCATTTTGGCATTAATATAAAAATGCAACGCGATTCCTTTCTAACAACATTAATTGCTCTTATTTGTTAAAAATATATAGCCTATGTATATATACGACGAACATATGACAAAAGTAATTTTAAATCAGTTTAGTATATAGAGCGTGCATTGGAAACAAATAAAAAACCATTCATAAAGCCAGGTTCCAAAACCAAGTTACGTTTAAAAATATTAAAAAAACAAATTTCAAATTAAAATCTTTAATGAAGTTATCACACAAACATAATTTAATAAAATACAGTTGTTATTAGTTAACTTATTACGAAAGGTGCTTATAAAATGTATACATCTATACGTATCTATAAACAAACAATAAACAAATTTTGTTAGCTACAAACTCGAATTTTATTATGGTATAAAAATCATCGATTTAAACATTCAAACCGCTAATGTCAAACAATTTTTTATCAATTGGTAGTAATTAAAACAACTTACGAAAAAAATCACTGTTATAGTACTACACACATTACAAATATTAAGCTTTATACGTATAGGTTTGAATTTCTCTCTATCATAACAGTATAAAAGGAAAGAGAAAAGCTTACAACTTGTAAGCTTGACGCATCATGAGGTCAAAATAGCAATCGTTATCAATAGAGACGCCGATAGCACTGTAGTAGTTCATAAACTCTTCAAGCGTTACCTGAAACAACAATAAATCGTACAACGGCAGAAATAGAAGAATATACAAGAAGACATTGAATTCTCGTTTAATAGAATATCTGTGATATTCTATAAATAAATAATGTCTTATATAATATACGCGAGTACACATATATACAGGATTTGGTTAGGCTGTAGGTACACCACTCGAAAACCACTCAAAATATTGTAATAAATTTATGGTTATATATCTAAGGGTGCATCCACATCTGGCGAATATGCCACGAATGTGCATCTCGCGAGCAGTTTGCGAGCTGCCCTGCGATTCTGTAACTCACTTTTCGAACTCACACAGCGGTTTTCGCATCGGCGGTCGCTCTCAAATCAGTCGTGAAGCAGTCATTTTATGATTTGGCATTCTGAAAAGGTGAGAGCCTGTAGTTTATTGTTTATCACAGTTACAGAATCGCGCGTGCATTTTTGTTCGTGCGCCGCTCCTGCGCCGCCCGCGTGCAGTTCGCGCGCAACCTAAGCGCCGCGGCCGTACGCGATAAGCGCGCGGGCGCGGCCGGCGCGCTCTCGGCTCGCGTCTTCCTTCCGCCCACGTCAGTAAACGGAACTGTAGTGCGAGAATTGAGTGCGCACAGTTCGCGCGCCGCGCGCGCGCCTTATACGTGCCTTGCATGAGTTGCGCTAAAGAGGCGCACATAACCATTGCCTTGACTGCACGCGCGCAGCTCGCAAACGGCTCGCGAGCTGCACATTCGCCAGATGTGGACGCACCCTTAAATGTGTCAAAGGTAGATTTTAAAACAAAGTATGACTTTCAAACCTTTGCTTTTGACGTTAAAAACAAATTATAAAACTCACTCTGCCATCCGCGGTGCCTTCAGTTTCAAAATTACCGAGGAACTTGGTCAAAACTTGATCAGCTGTCTCTTCCCCGCTCATATATCTGAAATGTGGTAAAAAAATATATTTTTAATTTTATATTCCTCTTTCTGTGTCCGCATGTCTTCATAACATTAAAATATTTCATACATTAATTTGATAGAACAGAGAAAGTAATTTTGCTTGGAAAAAGTTGATATAACAACGCATGGCACATTTCTGTTTATGTGTGCGAGAAACGAATCCAAATACTATGCCAAACTCATGAAAAATAAATAAATTATGATGATACATTAATTACTATAACTATTATACCTAGTTAAAACCGTAAAATCACTACCTTGGATGTGAATTGACAGAATAAACATTGCGAATATCGGCAACAGTGATCAATCCGTCACCAGACTTGTCCAGTTTCTTAAATGCTTGCTCAATTATAGCTCGGCGGGATTCTGACATCGGCGGCTGGAAACGTTAAGAAATTAATTTAAAAAAAAATCAGTGGCGCTACAACCTCTTTAGGTCTGCCTAGATTTCTGATTCTGTCTCATGATCATTTTTCAATCTACTAGGCAAGTAGGTGATCAGCCTCCAGTGCCCACCACACGCCGTCGACTTTTTGGGTCTAAGACATTTCGGTTTACTCACGATGTCTTCCTTCACAATTCTAGCGAATGTTAAATGCGCACATAGAAAGAAAGTCCATTGGTGCACAGCCGGGGATTGAACCTACGACCTCAGGGATGAGAGTCGCACGCTGAAGCCACTAGGCCAACACTTCTCACAACAAATTAATTAACCGAAGACTAACTGTATTCTATTGTTTTTACAAGTGTTAGTGTTCGACTAAATTGTCCCGTAATTAGAATGTATATTGTATGAACTTATATTGTAATGTGTATTGATAACCATAGACTTTTGAATCACGTAGTTATCATTTTTGTGTGTATACCTTTATTATAAAAGGGCTTTGAAGAACTCGACTCCAAATATTACGACTACAATAAAATATTAAGAATTTTTTTTATATAATTCCACGACTTCTTCATAAAAAGTAGGAGAGAAACTCTAACAACTGACAAATCTCTTTCTTGTTCGCTTAGAAGTATAGTGGAATTGGCTCTCCGTAGTAAGGCCGATTAGTTTCGACGTCATTCAAGAAATCAACCAAATGTAATGTAATCCTTCTAATAACCGCTAACGTAAGTACTTTTAGGTGTTGCATATTATGTTGCGGTTAAGGAAATTAAACAATCAGTAGCTTATATTTTATAGCGCGCGGGAAATACGACCGGCGCTACCAATTGTACGCTACACATACAACACTGTCGCAATACAAAAGGTGTGGTATACTATACATAAACCACTACATAATATTTTTGAAATAACGCGCGCGTTACGAAAACTCAATAATGTAATGCAACGTACAAAAAGGTCTAGCAGTCTCAACCACACCCTCCACACTCGCCTTGTACTTATATGATAAATGATTATAATAACATACTAAACATAAGTTTAGAATAACTTTATTTCTCATAGAATTGCATACATAATTCACTTACTGAGAAACTATGTAAAACTAAGATTAAAAATTAGAGCGCACAGATGTAGGTACGTATATAAAATAACAAAACAAAACAGAAACATCAAGGTCATAATGTAAAGCAACGCTGGAATAATCAATAGTCTTACATTATCATATAATAAAAACATTTACCAACCCTTATTTTCATAAGAAACTCGTCCAAGCTGACAGAACCACTCTTGTCCGTATCGAATCGCTCAAATAATTCCTCTGCATCCTGCGTAAATAATAAGTAAAGCGTGTAAATATCGAACGAAAACCAAATAATTTGCATACTAAGCCTGATTATAAAATGTGGATGTAACCCTGGCTGTTACCATGGCAACCGTTTAAAACATGACAATAACATCTAACATTTTATAAGGCTGGCTTTGTATATTGCCAGTTTAGTTAGACAAGTATAGGCAAAAATTTAGTAGTTGGATATTCTCGTGTCCTTGTAACTTGTAACAAATACGAATCTCTTGCCAACGTTTTCTCAGAACTACATATTACGCCCGTTCTTCTTGTATTAGGTACCAGAATGTTCCCATAACTCTGCAATCTGTTTATTATTATTTTTTAATATTGAAAACACTATATTCTCTCCGTAATTAATAACCAGAATAGTGTTATTTCAAACACTTTACGTTATCTTTACATAACAATAGAAATCTTCTATAGTCATAATATTCAATAGCTTTTACCATTTTGATATAAAAAAGATGAATATACGACTTGATTGACGACTCATTGGTCTAGTGGTTAGTACCCCTGACTGCGAATCCATGGGTCCCGGGTTCGATTCCCGGCTGAGACGAACATCGATGTGATGAGCATTTGGTGTTGTGCTTAGGTCTTGGATGTTTAAATGTTTAATATATATGTATGTATATCCGTTGCCTAGTACCCATAACACAAGTTTCACCAGCTTAGCATGGGACTAGGTCAATTGGTGTGAATTGTCTTTAAAAAAAATAATATATATATATAGTATTAGATATGATCTATTAGCACCTACCTCGTTTGATAATTCAACACCCGACTTTCTGATACCGTTGATAAATTCATCTTTATTCAACTGCTTGCTGCCATCATCGTCCATACGACGGAATACTCTAAATTTAGAAAATATGTTACAAGTAATTCTATAATAAAGGTTGGAAATATTTTGTATTATATAACAGGAGGCAAGCGGGCAGGAGGTTCATCTGATGTTATGTGAAACCGCCGCCCATAGGCACTCTCATTGCCAGAAGGCTTGCCTTTTAAGAATTGGTACGCTCTTTTCTTGAACGACACTAAGTCGAATTGGCTCGGAAATACTTCAGTGGGCAACTGGTTTCACATAGTGATACGGATGGTAATTTCTACAACAGTCCTTTGCAAATTCATACATGTCAATAGTCTTACTACACTATTTTAACAAACCATTCGTCAAAAAGATGTTAAATACGATAATTTCTTGACTTAACCAGCTGTACTCTACTTGCGTTCATTCGGTCGTTGCATGCTATAAAGCCTGGAAGAAAGGAGGGGTATTGTTGTATTGCTCCAGAGAGGATCTAAAGTCAAGGTCTAAGATCGATGTTGCATATATCCTTCTTCAGGGTGTCATACATTGGGTGTCATTGCTGTACCGTAGCTTCTAGGTGTCGTTACAAGCTTATCATATATATTCTCAATTTGAACCTGAGATTTATTCGTCCCCTCGAACCTTTAGGGCCGGAGTCCCTCAAGGCTCAGTATAACGTGCCCCTCCTGGTCGTGATGTTCACCGGCGACATCCCTAGAGCTCCCAATGTAGAGCTAGCCCTCTATGCCGATGATTCCGCTATCTATACCACCCACAGAGGTGTCATCGTGGACTGACTCCAGAACGCAACCACGTCGCTAGGCGAATGGTTTCAGAAACGGAGCTTCCAAATAAATCCCGAGAAGAGAAAGCCAATAAGCTATCCCGTGGCAAAGGTCCGTCAAATATCTAGGAGTCACGCTCAATAACGACAAGATGGCCTCTTTTGTCTACTCTCGCCTCTATTTCCTACTGAATAAAACGAGTCACATGTCCCTTAGACATAAGGTGACACTTGTACAGGGCCTGTATCCGACTCTACATGACCTACGCAGCGTAGTCTTCGCGCAGTCGCGCTCATTGGATTCGAAACTGGAGCCGGTGCGCCCCCTTCTACATGAGAAATGTCGATCTCCCCCAAGACCTGGAGCTCCCTACCATAGTCCAATGGATGAGGTTGGCGTAAACACGCCACTTCGGCAAGGCAAAACATCATCCCAACCCGTGCGTAGAAGCAAAAGCAAAGTCAATTATGATGCTTGACTATATATCTATAGCTAATGACAAATTAAAAGCAGTCCGCGCGGCAACGAAAAGTCATTATCAGATTAGGGTAAAATACCGATTTCACCGGGGAATGCGCGGACCTTTGCTTCGTACTTCACTCACTCACAGTATGCACCCGTATGCCCTTCGTGCGGCCCAAGCCGACGTTCGAGTCTTGTAGGAGACGCCCTTGCGCTAGCCGAAGGAAAACACAAATTCTGCTAAGCTACGGTCACGTAAAAAGCCCGAGCTGAGCTGTAAAGGCCCTTAACGAGATTCCAGTCCAAAAAAAAAATACATTCAACCAAACCAACTCTCGAGCTTTCGATGTTGGTAAATACATCATACATATATAACTTAACACTAACAGCCTGGCCACGGGACATTCGCCGACGCGAATATTCGCGCGGTGCGAACGGCGATGCGTCTAGCGACTGAAATAAACTCATAGCAATGTACTGATCAAGCCACGCGCAACGGCGACCAGCGTAGCGACCGGCGAAATGTACCGAGCGAATCGCGCGGGCGACTGACGTCGCGACGGGCGAGCGAAACAAATGCATGAATCAGTACGGTGCAAGCCACGGAGTCGAGCGGCAGTCGCGGCGAATAGAGAAGGGAATAAATAAGTTTAGTCGTGGTCGCGGCGAAAAATGAATACAGAGTTTTTTGTTACTGAAATACTGGCTAGACCAGCTATTTGGAAGTCTGGCCATCCACAGCATTAATTTAATATACCTTAATCTCAAAAACAATTTTTCAGCGGCACTTAAAATTCTATTTGCATTAACTTTTTTCTCCAATTCTGGTTGAATATTCATAAGAATATAATTGAAGGTTTCAATACTCATTCTGGTATACTCAAAAAAATAATTCTGGATATATTCTGAATTTGTCATACTTCTTGTGGAATTCTCCACAATTTCTCCAAATATTAGGTCTTGAACCAAAAGCTATTACTTTCCAAGCAATATCGAGATGATTTCGATAAAGACATTTCGCTGTCGAACTTCCTTACTGGTCGCGGCGGCAAACGTGACTGGTCCGTGGCCTGCAAACGGCCCCGCGCGAATGGTCGCCTCGCCTCCCGCATCGCCGTTCGCACCGCTGATCCCCGTGGCCAGGCCGTAAGATCGACATATATATAACCCTTATTGTACAATATTATTCTTCAGCAGTAAAATTAATAGCAATTTTACCTTCCCAAGCCTAGAATGCCGACAGCACCACGTGACAGGCACATCAGACGCAACTTCTCTAGAGGGTCAGTAGTTGAGGAAAGAGCTCTTGTACTCTTCTGCATTAGCTCTTCATCTTGACGTGATGATGCAGACTGCGGTCGGTGCATTGCTACTGCAAAAATATTTTTTATGCTGTACATGAAACATACCGAAAAACTACAAAACAATATATATTTTTATTTTATTTATTTATCCTGGGGGATACACGAGTAGCCGGCCATGTCACTTATCCGACAATATTCTTTAAATATTTATAAGCAAGAAGCAGCACAGTTTCCCGCAGCTCTCACTACACCCTCCTTCGTATTAATACGTTTCACAAATAACACAAATTTTCAAAGAAAAATTTCAGATGTGACCTGGACGTCTGAATTTGTTGTTCCAGGTCACAATTGTCAACTCTGAACATTTTAGAATAAGGTAATATTATTATTTTATTAAGTCTAGTATTTTCTGATTGCTAATATGTGATAAATGTAATATTCTATAACACACTTACATTAATTCCTAGACTGATAATATGTCTAACAATCTAAACGCTTAAAAAGCTGCTAACAAAAATTATAATATGTTTAGTTATAGCGCTGAAATAAGCTATGTTAAATAGAGAAATAAACACTTAAAACCAATTGAATAAAAAGAAAAACATATACCAATATGTAAAGTGCACTGAAAAATTGTAGACATAGGTTTGGCAGACGTCAAAGTCATACTTTAAAATTATTATCGAAAAAGACACAAAATCGTGTAATGCCCCATTTGGTTGTCTCTTCAAACGTCCTCTGACATAACTTTCAGGTATTGAGGTTAACGCTAATAAATTTAATCGATATCTGTCTACTGAATAAGTAGGTAACTACTTAAATCGGTTGAAGACGAAAGTTTTTAATACTTAAATATTTAGAACGAATTTCCTGGCGTTAACAAAAATAGGAAACTATTTAACTCCTCTCACTAGTTTAGTTATAAATGAGCAACCGTTATCCTACTAATATTATAAAACACGAAAGTTCGTAAGTATGGATGGATGTTTGTTACTCTTTCACGTAAAAACTACGGAATGAATTTTTTTGAAACTTTACAATAATATAGCTCATACATCAGAATAACAATTCTTCAATTTATATAGATATCGTGTGAACTGTCCAAAATATCAAGTAATAGGAAAAAAGCTACCATCTGCGCGCTCTTCTGTCGCGTGCTGCCAAAACCGCAGTTACACATTTGTAATGCATGATGGAAATTACAAAAAAGCCCGCCGCAGTACATATCTATATCTTATGTGTAAGCCATTATAGTCAAAATAGTGAACCATAACTACAATAAAAATTGATAATTTATTTCAAATGCACATTTGTTAGTAATAAATTGATTCCTAAATGAAAATAGATACTTTTATCGCTTCTAGGATTTAAAGTAGATAAAATATGTCTTTCAAAGTACATTTTTTGTACAAATATTATTTTAATCCTTCTAGAATACTAATCTTTTGATTTTCAAAATCACAATATGTCACTGTAACAATTTAAATTGAAGAAAATTTGTTACAAAATCCATTGCACATTAAAATACCTTAAAATATCCTGAAAAAGTGTGTATTTAAAGCAATAACTTACTATTGGAGCGGTTGTGCTTTCCGCGGAACATTTTAATTTAACATTAAATACGCGAACACCACTGAAATTCTGTAAGCGACTTCATAGTTTACGAAGCACTTACTTACTGACGCATCAAACTTCGCGTTCGAACCAATTACAGCACGCCTTGTTTGTTACTGTATTTCCCATAGGAAACTAGTTCATTGGGTGTAACTAATAATATTAATTAAAAACTCAACCCAATAGCACATTTATTTCGCGTTGTATAATGTTTTATTCATACTAATAAATTTTGATAATCATATCAAATAACTTCTAACACACAAAATAATTTATTGAAACATATAATAATATATAGAGTTGCGTAGACCCATATTATAAAAATTACTGATCAAAATCTTGAGCACATTTGGGCCTGTAAGTTAAAATATCAGTGAAATTAAAATTATTATTTCGAAATGACAATGTTTCCGGGAAATTTAACGATATAATAAATTTACAATGTTAGCGCACATGTTACGCTACAAAGCTAATCATTGTTACACTGATACCTGCTTTTAAATCGATTAAAATATTTAAAAACGTATTTTTAAAGGTTAAAGCTATATTCCTGCTATAAATATTTAATTATGTATAAATTATAGGAAAATCAAAAGATGAAAATACTGTCTTTTGTCTTAATTAATTAAACCTAAACGCGTTTATTGAAAAGTTACAATTATTTATAATATTTAATCTAAAAAAGGAAAGTGAAGTGACAAGGCTTGACTACGCTTCGTAAATCAGAAGAACCTCATAAAATTTAGTGAAATAAATGTTAGTTCATGAGAATGAGTATTAATTTACACAATTTTTAGACATAGGTTTCGAGCCTTTGTTTTGTTCAGTATTCCCATTTTAGTCCCGCATTGCCTTCAAGTCAAAGTCAGTTGAAGACACTAGTATAATCGAATATGTTAAAATAATTATCGTGACGAACACTTTTACTAAATTAAGTAGGTCAAGTTGTTTTGTTAAAGGTTCAGGGACGAAAACGAAACCATGTTGTCCTTCGCCGAAATAAATTAAATTAACAAAACGTAATTCTCATTTCCAGCCATAGATTTTATCGCACAATAGAGTTTATTATTTGAAATGGTTTATTTGCTTTAGAAAATAATTCATTTCTTCTTTTCACAGATTTTTGATCATCGCCTCAAAGCTCGAAAGAAAATAATTCAATGATTAAAAGTTCTTGTATCTATTGTCACGTGAAGCTCCACTATCGATCGACCTTGCTTCAGGTCAAGTGACTCAATAACACAATCCCTTATACATTTTCACTTAAATTTTTCATGACACGTATTTGCACTGCAAATAGATAAAACCTATTTGTAATTGTAAAGAACAAAAACAGGAGGCAAACGGGCAGGGAGGTCATCTTATATTAAGCCGCCTATTGACACCCACATTGCCAGAGGGCTTGCAAGTGCGTTTCCGGCCTTTCAAGTATTGGTACGCTCTTCTTGACCCTAAGTCGAATTGTTTCGAAAAGGCATCGGTTGCAACTGGTCCTACATGTTTAAAAAAAGTGAAGTGGGGGGGTGGAAGATATTATAATTAACGACACTTAAATGTTTAGGTTTTGATTTATTGTTATTACCTGGACATAATAAGGGTGTAAAAAAGGGATCGTGACGGTCGCGTGTCGAAATGTATTGGAATATTACACGAAAGCTATTTTACGACGTACGCTAGCCCTTTCACACTGTTTGCTTTCTATACATTAGTCACCCTTGCTTATAGAGGACTATTAAAACAAGTACCTATACTTATTAAGTGCGGGATGGACTTTTAGGACTCCCACACAAAACTGCGATGCGATGCGATGCGAATTTCTGCGATACGATTTAGTGCGACGAACCGTTTGGTAGGGCGACCATTCCTTCGTAGTCAGCCGTACTGGACGTGTTTTTAGGACGCGTAAGATGGATCGCAAAAAGATAATTGCACTTCTGTTATTGTTAAATAGATATAAAAGAAAAAGAAGATTCTAGGTTCATCCATTTATTACGATTATGAACTCTGATGCAAACTTTCACAGACGCTCTTCCACGCATCTTGCTCAATAAATTTATTTTTATAATGTTCATCACTTGTGTCCCAAAGGACGGGACGCTCCTCAATTAATAATATTAAAAAATCCATATCATATTCCGCAATTTTTTATAAACAAAGAAGGCGGCCGAGGCGCCGCGCGTCTTTCTCTAAAGCTGTCTCAGAGCGGACTAAAATGGCGTCACCAAGGATGACGTAATATCGCAAGAATGTGCGATGCGAAGCAGATCGGAACTTCTTGCGGTGCGTTCGTGTGAATTCGCAAATATTTGCGATGCGATGCGAATTCGCAGTTCTGTGTGGGAGCCCTTACATAGAACAACCATACACCCCAGTAGCCTAATAAGAAGATAATAGTTGAGAGAATTACCGTTTAGTTACCAAAAACTTATATGGAAGATTTAATTGTGTGACTAAGCCTAGAAAAAGAGTCTGGGCCTCAGATTTCTGTATCTGTTTCATGATCATTTGTCAATCTAATAGGCATATAGATGATCAGCCTCCTATCACACACACAACATCAACTTTTTGGGTCTAAGGCAAGTCCTTACGATGTTTTCCTTCACCGTTCGTGCTAACGTTAAATGCGCACAGAAAGCACAGCCAGGAATGAGAGTCACACGTGGGAGCCAACACTGCTCTCGTGACTAAGCCTAAAGCCTTATTTAATTTAAAAATAGAATTTCAAAAGAAATCATTCTTATTTCGGTCTAATTATACTAATTTATAGTCATACTAGTGGACCCCACAGACGTTGTCCTGCATGATATTTAAAGCGATTAGGATATTAAGCAAAGTATGAAAGTACCGACTGCAGTGCCATCTGCCGGGCTGATTTGTGAATCTAAACCATTCCCAGATCCCCTTGAACACACACAAAAAATTTCATCAAAATCGGTCCAGTCGTTTGAGAGAAGTTCAGTGAAATACACACTCACAGAAGAATTATATATATAAAGATAAATAAAAAGATAACATTAGTGTAAGCTACGTATATCTGACGACTGTGTCGCTGTCAGAAAAATATGCGTAAACGAAATACTCGTAACTTGTTCCCATCTTCTCGAACTGATACCATTTAATGTTCCTGCCAGATCTCTGCGCTCGCACAGAACTTTTAACCTTCCGACTCCCAGAACATTGGGTTCGTGTGCCTCTTCACAGGATGTGTTCCACCTTGGATTCTGTCACTAACATCGACCCTTTTTCGGACTCCTCTACTGCTTCATTTAAGAATAAGTTAAAACTCTTAATGTCTTAAGCCTTGTATCTTCCTTGATTTTTTTATAGCTGCTAGTTTAGTGTTAAATTTTGTGCTGTCATGTTTTGTCTTGTTTTACTTTGTATTGTATTTTTTATCGGTGAAACTTTTATTGTGGATATGTCCAATGTGTTTATTTATTTTATGTTTTACATTTATTTTATTTTTACTGTATAGAGATGTATCTGTTTAGTTTCCTTAATAAATAAATAAATGTAAACCCTACTTCTTCAACGCCTTTTCAATGTAATTAATCAAAATAATTAATTACAATACTAGTACGGATAGTTCTACAGTAGGTGTAATTATCTTCTATGCTACCCTACTATAGTTGGTATAATTATATTTCTAGACCAAGCTAACGTATCGATCGTATGAGTATATGATACTGATAAAACTTTGATCACTGTTTTAATTGTTTCACAAATGACAGTAGGATTTACGACTTAATTAATTATACCTATAGTTACATTGTTTTAAAATCACCTTAACTATCAACATCAAATATAATTATAATAGCCTTTATTGCTGAAAAATACTTATCCTAGTACATACAAATGTGAAGCACTATAAACACTAATAATTAATCGGCAAGCCGGTTAATTTCTGTTAGAAATCTTGTCTTTGGACTTAGGCCTCCTCTAAGACCTTCCACTTTCGGTGTCTAACTTTAGTCGCATAGGGCCAGCTGCTCTACTTCCCAGTTTTTTATTTGTCTTTCTTGTTTTCTTTTGTTATAGCAAGGATGCCATTCCGTCGCTTCCTTTGTACCCTTTTCTTTGTATTCTCTCATAATTTCAATTTCCATTTCAATCTTTTACTAGAAGTAACATGTCTAAACATCGTCATGTCTTTTATTTCTTCCAGTTTTACTCTATCTTTCAATTTCAGACAAAGAACACTCCTTTCGAAGCTATTTACACCACACGCTTAGTTTGTTTTATACCTACTTAAATCTATAATTTACAAAGATATAGGCGTTCGTTTAGTTTAATAATATGAAGCCCATTTCTCGAATAGCTTTATTCAATATCGCCGACCTTGGGTTTTTACTACAATTGAAAAAGGACGATGCCGACAAATAAGAGAGAGAGAGAGAGACAAAGTTAGTTAATGCTAAGCAAATGCTAATTTCCGTCTAGAGCTAGTATTGGCGGTGCAGTGGGGTTTTAGTGGGTATGCAAACATTGCGAGTCCCGACTCCCACATGACCCCCAGCCCCGAGAGGTCGCAAAAAAGATGGCATGACTTACATAAGAAATAAATAATTTGATTATATTCAAACTTAATATTTTTTTAATTCCTTAATGTAATTCCTAAATACAGTTAGGTCACTGATATCTATGAACTTCATATGCTCACTTAGGAACAGCGTTATGCGCGAATAAAACATTTTACCCACATTGAAATATCTGGTCTACCCGCATACTTTTCAATCTTATCAACAGCAGAGAAATTTTAACGGTATCAATATCTACTTTGTTTACTGTTTACTAACCCAGTAACAGGTCGGGATTAAAACTACAGATGCTTATACACACACGATTTCAGAGGGTTCGGCATAAATTCGTCAATTTAATAATTTCCATACCTTTTCTTTTATTAGTCTATTTTTCTAAACCATCTCTAAGTATTTGTTTGAAAATGACCCGTGGTGAGATATCGACTTTTTTATAATGGTTTGCAAACATGTTCTTGGTTGGGGCAGCGTGTACCTATATACTTTTTCTAACATATTTTCCTAAGTTTTTGATTGTCATCATTTAAACATGTGTGATTTGAAAGCAAAAATAAAATATTGAAATGCAGATCGAATAAGCGACGGTGCTAAATCTTATCGAATTAATTATAACCGTAATTTAAAAAGCGTACGTACACCGTTGTAAGTTTTTAATATAATTTCTCATATTAATAATAATTAAATCACTTACCAGCGTCCATAATATTCAGATTATTATCCTTCTTGTCGCCTTTATTTGTTTGTTTCGGCGAATTTTCGTAGTTGAAGCAAGCTGTAAATAAACACACAGTTTAAGACTTTATATAGTTTTTAAAGTATTGCCAAATACTTTATAAACGTCATTGCTATAGAAAATATTAAAAAGAAAACGTAATGCTACTTTAGGGCAATTTTATCGAACAATTTATTTATTAACAACGAAATTAATCTTATTTATATAATAAATCAAACTGCCAGAAAATTCTGGAGCTTCTTATTTAATCATAATAAACACTTTTTTAACATAAATATAATATATGTGAAACAGTGAATAATGTTTAATAATTTTGATTGTTTTTTCCATTTTGTAAATATTACACGTATTCCATCTTTGGCTAGATTCTTAGTGTAATTGTTTCATATTATATATAATTTTTGATAGCTGTAGGATTACGAAATAAATAAATAAACAGTCTAGGAACTGTTTCTTCCTATACCAAGCGAAACAAAGATTTTACCTAGCTTTTTTGTATTTAAAACACAATTACCCAAAGACAATACCAACATCTAACTCGGCAAATTGATGACAAATCAGTTTATCAAGGTATGGCTCTGTGCATGTGAAGCGTGACAGAAACAATTGAGTATAAATAGCCGTGATTATATATAAAAGATAGTATCTATCTAGAATATAGGTGCCGCGTCAAATATATAACACGAATGATAAATGATTAGTAGGATATCATGTAATAACATACTAATATATTTAGGAGACAGTTGTACCTAACATAATAATAACCATAAGCTTATGATTGTCTGCTTAAATAAATTATTATTTCCTATGATTGATTGAGAGACGATTTTTGGAGGAAGGACTGACTGGTCCGAAGACATCAGTGGGTGGGTAATGTCGAGTAGTATTTATATACTACTAACCGTTATCGGTTGGAAATTCTTCTTCGACACGTTTCAGGGGTTATGATGTCATCACAGTTATTGTAGCCATTGTAGGTCTCGCACACACGCACACTATGGTTATATTATATACACCATATAACTTATAAAGCCGGTGATGGGGCTTATCGCTCGGAAGTCAGTTTATACCGAGTTTTCATTGGAAAAAAAAATAATTTTTTGTATATGTTTTTATATTAATAATTAGTAGTTAGCAGTAAATTTGTATAAAACTTTTTGTACTTCTATTTTAAGAGGTATTTCCAATAATATATTTAATATTTAGGCAGATCTACACATGTTTTAGGTCCCATGAAAATGTTTTCATTTACGTTTAAAACCCGGATAACTCCGATATGCGACGAGAAAAACAAAGGAGCAGTCAAAATCGGTGGCAACTCTATTATTTAAGAAAAAGGCTACTACGGAGAATACATGATTCAGAACCTTGGGATAACGAAGAAAAATATTTTTTAACTTGCGGCTTGCGCACAGCGGTTTTGAAACGTCGCGAGTCATAAACAAATCGTTTCAGTCGAAACGGGCTAATAGTTTCAAGCTCCTTAACACAAAGATTTCTGCCTGGTAGGGTACTGTAGGCAGAGTCCGTAATGGTATAAAACTCGCGTTAATTTAAAATTTCTCATGACATAATAAAGAAAGACTGAAAATAAACTGTCTTCTAAAATGTCTGGAACGGTTATTTTATAAAAAATTGATTTTTACTACAGCCTATAGCTTCCGTTTAAACAAGTCAGAAAACTGTAATATGGAATTAAAAAACAGTCGTAACCGACATGGATAACCGTGTCCGAACTCACCTTTTAAAATTAAACTTAAAAGCCGTCTATGCCCTATAACAACTCTTACAATAATGGTTCATGTGTATATGGAATATCGATTTTTATAATCACTAGATACGAACAAAAAGTTAGTTTGAACTGATGGTAATCCACCTTAACTATTCATACATTCATTAGAATTGATTCATACAAAATGACTATAACAAAGGCTGATACAGATAACGTTTTTAAAGAAAAGTTTTAGTTTATACTTATAGTTCATGCCTAAAGGCCCATTTACACGATGCCATTTTCTTGCCTGTAGCATACAATTATATCGACGCAATAAATGAGTTGCATGGTCTAAACAAAACGTAACATTCTTGATCAATGGGAAAAGTTTCCTTTCAAAACTATTATTGATGTAAACAGCACGTACTATAATTTCTTACGCAATTCTTGTACGCAATTATCTCTTCATTTGCAAACATGAGTGCAGTGAGTGAGGGTGTGTTGATCGTTGCTGCTCTTCTGAGGCAAGAAATATTGAAAACCTCGTAAAAAAAGGTGTTGGATCAAAAAATGGATAGGAAGAAGAGAGGTTCTCGGAGCATCTAACAATCTTTGTTTAGAGTTACAAACAGAAAATGAAGATGACTTTATGGAGATGTTTCGTGTGAACAGAACCTTAAACTGACGACAACGACTTATCCGCTGGCAGATAAATTCTTAAAATAGATGAAACAGACGACGATTGACGACTCATTGGTATAGTGGTTAGTCCCCTGACTATACATGGGTCCCGGGTTCGATCCCCGGCTGAGATAAACATCGATGCGATGAGCATTTGGTGTTGTGCTTAGGTCTTGGATGTTTGAATATGTATTTATATGTCTATCTATAATATGTATGTATTCACCAGCTTAGCATGGGACTAGGTCAATTGGTGTGAATTGTCTTTAAAAAAAAAAAAAGACGCAAATATGTATCTATGTATGGGAGGTACTTTCGGTACTTTATACATAGCTAACAAACGGCATTACTACATAAACAATTATTAGCATAAGTAGTTACAGTCAATCAACTGGAATGGAAAACTATGTCCTTTTAATAAATAATGATTTCTGAAATATGAAATAACCAACCTACCTATTAATCAAATCCTGTACACGATTTGTTTCCGTAATTTCACTAAACTAGGACAAATTAAGCGTCTAAAACCTAGATGAGGCTAACATATAGGTGACAGTTTCAACCTTCATCCATGTAAGGTTAAAGGTGAGTCAGTATTACGTAGGTATCTTGAATAATAAAGAAAAATTACAAACTTCCTTTACCTAGTCGAACTTAACTGCGCTATCACTTTATATTCTAAAGTAAGTTATCGGTACGAGAACGAATGCATTACAAAATGGCCGTATAGAGAAATTGCTGCAAAAGAATAAAAAAATACGTATGGAAGATGAACTATTTCTAGATCTTTCTCTCAGATACGTTATATATAAATTATAATATATATATATAAAATAATTGCGGCACCTGAGGATTATATCTTATTAACTATTATGTTCTTTGAAATATTATTAGACTGTTCGCTTTTTAGGAATCGTTTACGCTTACCCGCCATAGAGGCGCTGCTCATTCGCCCTCTTGTAAAATCAATTTTGAAATATTTTTACGTGCTCACAAAAAATATAAAATTTCAGAAAAAACGAATTAAGCAAGGAGAAACAGTTTTGGACATACTATGTACAAAAATTACTGACAGACCATTGTAAGTCTACTATTTTTTTAGTAACTGCCAGTAGACGTATATACTTATAAGTTCCTAAAACATATTTGGCTCCTAAAATAATCTGATATTAAAATATTATTTTATTAATTTTTAAAATTCAATAACTTCTATAAATCAATTTTTTTAATATACCTTTGTTTGTTATTAGTAACAGATTGTATTGAGATTGTGGTGAATGTCAACTCTCTTAATAATATAATACTTTACAGCTGAATGTGACTGACAGACAGCTGACATTGTCAATTGTCATAATTTACATTCTAAATCATCCACAACAATAAAGTATAAACAATTATTAAGCAAGTCGTTTAGTTTTTGGTAATAATTGTAAAAATATTTTATATTCGAGATCAAAAGTATCTCCGTTAACAACCAATAACATTTGAAAAAGTGATTAATTTAACATGGCGCCAGGCAAGAAGTTTGTGCGAGGTAAAAGATCTAACCATCACGTTCCAAGAGACTACGCAGAATCTATACAAGAATTAACTATCCACTCTTCGGAAGATAGCGATAATGATTCCAAGAATTCAAGTGATGAAGGTACGGAGGCAGAATTTACTGTCAGTATGTGGGATTTAAATCATTGCGACCCAAAAAAATGTTCCGGTCGAAAACTCTTACGACATAACCTTATAAAAAACCTTAAATTAGGTCAAAGATTTCAAGGTCTCGTTTTGTCCCCAGTAGGTACACAATGTGTTAGTCCTAATGACAAAGAAATAATCTCAAAGTTTGGGTTAGCAGTAATTGATTGTTCATGGGCTAAAATAGATGAAACCCCGTTTAATCGAATGAAATCACCACATCCTCGCTTACTGCCATTTTTAGTAGCTGCAAACCCTATAAACTATGGGAAACCATATCAGCTAAGTTGTGTAGAAGCATTAGCGGCAGCTATGTTTATAACTGGTCATAAAAAAGAGGCGAAGTTTTATTTATCAAAATTCTCATGGGGACACTCATTTTTAGAATTAAATTCTGAAGCATTAGATGCATATGCAGCATGTACTGATAGTAAAAGTGTCTTAGAAGCTCAGAATAAATATCTTCAAGATGTTTCAAATGAAAAAGATACTAGATCTATGTGGCCATCAAGTAGTAGTTCTGAATCCGAAAGTGAAAGTGAAACAAGTTAATTGTAATGTTTATGTTTAAAAAAAAAATAGAACTATAAAATGTTAATGCAACAAACAATGGTTAATTATTTTTTATAATCATATCCTATAATAAATGCTAATGTTTACATGTCTCTTTTGTATGTTTTGGTTTTAATGTGACCCTTTGTACAATTACTATTTTAATACTTCCAAACAAAATGAAAAGTAAGTTAACATGACACAATAGCATTTTTTTCTAAAATTACCTATTTATTTAAATATTTTTAATGTTATGTAATCTGGGTTTTAAAAATCACCTGTGTTCCTCATAGCAAATATTTAAAGAATAACATATACATATTATAATATATTTTGTTTTGATTCTGACTTGGTTTGGGTTTGATGAAAATAAATAAATAGAAATGATTATTATTTTTATTTATAATAAAAATTTCTAAAAGAAATAAATATTTATATGGCTCTTCATACATATAAACTAATAATAAGTTAAACAATAAAATATTTTAGAAAACTCAACAATTGAAATACTTTACTTATGTCAGTTTAGATCCGCGAAAGAGCCTGCTCTAAAACATGTTGAACGATTATATTCAACATGGGCAAAAGTTTTTTAAGTATAGGAATAATCGTAATACAAAGCCCTCAATAATTTTGTGTTCGTAAATGATCCTTCCAAGAATTACACATGGATATACACTATGCGTTTCATATATTAAAAAAAATATAATATTTAATATATATACTTAAAAAATATTTCAATATCAATAATTAAAGTACATAATATTATTAAAATCCCCTATTTGCTTTGACGACATCTATAAGATTACTATAGAACTTACATCATCAACGTATTAGTAAATAGACGAAAGCGTCATCTAGCATTACATTCTAGAACATAGAGGACACAAACACCTGATAGATGTCACTCCCTGTCATGCCGCGTGCTTAAAGTTCCCACGTTTGCGCGCTTTACTTTGGCGTCCCGTCGTTGGCGATTGGCCCGTTAAAGTTTAGTTTGGTTTTGAATTTGTGTTGGAGGTGACATGTGTGAGGCGGAGTAATTGTTTGAAACTCGCGGAATAACTTATTTCACTTTTTTGTGAATGTGGTTGGTAACATTTTAGTGTTGTGTTGTGATAAAGTGAACTTGGTTTTGTTTCGGAGGACGATTATAAAGAGTCAAGTAAGTTTATTAGTATTTTGTAAAGCCTTAACTTGCAACCTGTCACGCAGGTGTCTCGAACCCAAGTCACTAACCTCTGATGAATAAAAACTAACAACTTTCTTCATCTTGATTGACAAGGGAAAAGAGATGTATAAATATTTGAAGGTCTGGGTACTTAAACAAAACTTTCATATTAAATTCGTTGTAAGTAGGTTTCTGTATCTTGTTAATAATTCTAACACAACAGGTATATGTACAACACTAGCTATTAGGTAGTATGAAGGCTCTATACTGCTCTCAAAGTCTCAACTTACCGTAATATTTAAACATCTTTAACCCTTTCTGTATGAGACATGGCCAAGAAAGTATGTATACCTATTCAAAATGTTTGCCAAAACAACACCGTTTCACCGGCAATCGAATCCGGAAAACTCCTGAGTTATGGATGCAATTTATGCTTTAAAATGTGCGTTAGCTAACTAGATACTATTTGTTTTTGACAAAGTGTAAACTATTTAATTATTTTGTAGTACATATCTTGCTAGTAGAGCTACGTTTTTTGTATCGCGTTGTTCGATACTGGTTAAGGTTTTGCTTTTACAATTCTAACTTACTCTCCCCCCTTTATTACTACTAATGGACAGCAATATCGCTAAATAAAGTTGTAATTCAAGTAGTTTTATATAGGATACCGGCGGAATGAAGGCGCTTCACACGTCTCGACATTTATTTTCATTCTTTAAAATCGTTTCAGTAGTTTTTGTGTTAATTATTTTCAAATGGACAATAATACAAATCTTTCATCCTTATATATTTATTTTCTTCTTTCATTATGAATAAAGTTTATTATTATAATAAGGGTTATTCTGAGTATATTTTCATCAAAGTAGACGTTGGCAATTTTATCTAATATATAAAATTCTCGTGTCGCGGTGTTTGTAGTTAAACTCCTCCGAAACGGCTTGACCGTTTCTCATGAAATTTTGTGTGCATATTGGCTATGTCTGAGAATGGGACAACATCTATTTTTCATCCCCCTAAATGTTAAAGGTAGTCCAACCCTTAATTTTTTTTTAATTTGTAGATAAATTTTAAATTTTTTATGATACACCATTAAAAATACAAGTAAGAATATAAATATATCGTGCCGCGGCGTAAATTTTTTTTTCTATCAATACGAAAATATTGATTGTAATAAAAAATTCAACTAATCTTTGTGGGATCTGTATATTTTGGTGAAACTATGTATAATTGTTACGAGTTGGATAGCGGATTGTTGAATAAAGATTATAAATAACACAGATATATTTAGAAAATTTTCTGACAGACACTGATTGCGGTTTTATAGATTAGGTATTTGTTTTTAATTATAATTTTACTATAATTGTACTATTGGTAAAAGTTTAATGCGTGCCTAATTGTATTCATTTAATAGGAAGCCACTTAAAGTGAGCAATACGTCAGAAAACCAGCCTTTTTTTTTAATGGCTCTGGCACGATTTGTGCATTAGCCAGCGTCAAGTATAGGATTTTTTATAATTCGTGCTTGTCTTTAGAAATTCGACCGTGTCCTCCATGTAAGGTTTAGGCACTCGCCCGGTACCGCACAACCCTCCCAAAGGCCGAGAACAAATTTAAATTAAATTAAAACTTGCCCTCGAACCGGGAATAAGACCACTAGGCTATGAGGCCCCTAAAAAAACCAGCCTTAACATTAGTGAAATAATATTTACACAACATTTTGCTAGAAATGTGAAACCTGCGTACAGGTATTTAAAAATGGAATCGCTGACAGATATTTCAGATCAAAGTTTTCAAATCTTTGGTTGTCAATAGAAATATAATGTTCCGATAAATGCTACATAGTTTTATAAATGTTAAGAGAAATTCATAAGAGTCGATGTGTGCTGTTTTATAATGTATTTTTCGGAAAAAGATGACGAAAATGTAATCTGAACTGTGTTTTAAGTTTTGACGTCTTCGTTTTGTCTAGTAAGTAAATATGTATTATATTCATAGATTAAGTATTTAACACACAATTATAACTATTTTTAAGAATTAAACCCCAGGCCTAACATATTCATACTACTTAATCACAGTTTGACCTATTTAAATAAAAAAAATTCGTCTCTATTTCACAAATTGTATTTAAGCTGTAATGAAAAGACAGATGAGTGCTTTTGTTCACACAGAGTCATTAAAATTATTCGAGTCTACTTGAATTAGTCTCGCATCATCATTTGGCACTTTTAAATTTTTTAGTGTTATTATACCAATACTTTGAGTCTGCGCGCGGTCTAGTAAATACGTACTCAAATATACTCCTATTACAGTCATTTTCCTAAGCTTTAATTGATATTTAATATATTATAGCGTACTAATTTTTAAAAGGTCGGCAACGTACTTGCGAGCCCTCTATCATTGAGAGTGTTCATGGGCGGTATCACTTAACGTCAGGTGAGCCTTCTGCCCGTTTGCCCCGTGTTCTATAAAAAAGTTTTTTTGGCATAAAATAAGAGTCTATCTATCGCATTACAGGTGTGCAAATTTTAGGTGCAAATAGACAAGTGGATGTTATGTTAAATTATGTGTGATGAAATATATACAGTCACATTGTGTTGTAATCTATGAAGCAGTTCGTTGATAAACGACAAATTATGAAGCCCCCACGAAAATCGCACAACACCAGTGATTCTTGCTCATGTACATCGTGTCTTTATAGAAGCGAATCAGATAGACCTTCGCTGCAACGGTTAATCCTTAAACAGTCTAAAATCGATCGTCTTTACTATGGAAAGTATGTACCCTTAAGAGAAAAAAAGTTGTTAGACAAATTGGTCCGAACAAGAGCGGTGTACGATGACATCAGAGCCCAATTGGTATCTGACAGTACATCGAGTCTACAGAAAAATGCTGATTTCAAACAGAAAACCTCCTCTAATGAGCTTCAAAAGAGTAGTGCTATATTAGAAATTGTAAACCTTGTAGATAAAGGTGCTGCTTTAAAGACACCGAATTTAAGTGAGTGTTGTAGCTGCTGCAGTTGTTCATCTAAAAGTCATCTTCATCAAAATATACAGTCGCGGAAATTGCATCACCGTAAGCATGCGCGTGAACATTATGAAAGGGAAGGACTAAGATATAATATGAAAAAAAGGAAAGGAGTCCGGTTTTGGCCCAAACACATTAAATCTGATCCTTGCACTTGCACCTTTGAGTACTTAGGATTTAGTAATAAAAATGCCAATTTGGATAATAATATCGAATCGTCACTTAATATTGATGAAGAAATTCAACCGCGACCGCGAAAGCCCTCTTTAAATATTGTTGAGTCTAAAACGAAGATTAAAAACATAATCACGGATGGTTTGCAAAAGATTAAAGACTCTAAGACGATGCTACAAGATTCATTAGCTATTCGTGCAAAGGAATCATTAGAAAGAGTAAAAAACATTAAAAATCAATTAAAACCTATGAAAAAGTTACCAGAGGACGATTTTTACTTTTTGGAAAATCGGAAAGTAACAATTTTGAAGGACGCAGGCCGAACGTCCTATGAAAAAATAAAAGCATCTCAAACAAGGCTTAAAAATAAAATTTTAGAAAAGGGAGAAATTGCTGATGTTCGGGCAAGAAACTCAATAAATAAACTAAAACAAATAAAAAATAATATGAATACAAATGTAAAAGGCAGTCTTGAAAAACTAAGTTTTAAAAAGAAACCAAAGAAAAAACTAAACGTTTTGTCTCCAGAGCAACACACTCAATTAGCGCATAAAATACGGAAAGATTCTATTGTCAAATTTAAAGAAGATTTAAATAGGAAAGAGCGATTATTAAAGGGCTGGATCTGCGAAGAGCCATGTATTCAAGGTACATGTGATCCGAAGCAATGCTTAAAAAAACTTAAATTGAAAAGAACTGTAAAAGACAGACGACGTGGTAGACGTGGTAAAAGTAAAACCCATGTTTCAAAAGGTAAACGGCGTGAGGAAAATAATGCTATATCTTCAAACTCATCTAATGTAAGGATACAAACTAGATCTAGGAAAAAGGCTTCGAAATTGCAACAGAATATACCAAAAGAAAATACAAAGAAACTTCAAATAAAACCAGCTTTAAGCATTAAAAAACTTCAAAATAAAGAAAAACTTGCCAAAACTCAAGCGCAGGGTAAAAAAAACAAATTGCTTAAAAAACACTTAAGAGTAAAATCCTCGTCGGAACGAGAAGCAATCCCTCGTCAAGTTGTAAGAATAGGATCTTCTTTTAGTTTTAATGTCGAATTTTTCAAAGAAAACCCTCGTTCCAATATTCAGAGCTCTTCTCCTAATTACGGCAAAAATAACAATCAATCTTCAGGTTTAACCCTAAATAGTTCGAGAAAACAAAAATCAATCCAAAAGGATAAAAACAGGTCTCAATCTAGTTTAAAATTACTAAAACGTGAATTAGCGAAGAAACTTAAACATATACAGAAACATCGTCAGACGGCTTTGCAAAAATCAGAATCTGTACAGTGTGAATGCTCGAACGTAGCTTTAGCAGACAGACAAAACAATCAAAATTCTTTATTACCTTTTGAATGCGATCCCTCTATATGTATTCCCGGTATCTGCGATCCAGGAAATTGTTTAAAACTCATCCAAAAGAGATTAGCCACACGCTCCAAACAATCGTACACAAGTTCACGTAAAACTAAGTCAACGTCAAGTGTTACAACTAAATCAAAATCATCCAAAGCAAAGCAAGTTCAATCAGCAATAATACCTCGACGTAAAGATGTCATGGATAAGGAAAAACTGAAATTTCGAGCAAGAAAGGCTAATCGTAAACCCAAGCTAAGTAATGGTAATATTGTTCGTATCGGTTCGACATTTAGTTTTAACATAGAATTTCAGAAAAAATCTAAAATACCTCTTCAGAACGGAATTGAGAATTGGCAAGGATTAAATACATTCTCTATTAAACCAAAAACTAAAGAACTTGTTCGAGATAAAATACCTAACTATCTCAAAAGGGATGTATATCGTAAAGAAAGGAACTTTAAACGGAGAACATCAACAACAGGTACAGAAACAGATTATTCAGGTAATTTTAAAACTCGAAATACATCTACTGGGACAAAAAATCTTCAATTTTTATCACATCTACTGCCATACGAATGTACACCTGGTACGTGTTTCCCAGGAGAGTGTAATCCATATGAATGCCTAGAAAGAATTAAAAAACGCCATAATACGAGAGAAGTTAGTTTAGGTACGATTAGTCCAGAAAATAAGTCGACATATAGTTATACTAAAAATAAATCTAAAGCTGCATTTGTTCAATTCAAGCCAAGTACAAAGGGGCGCAAGATATTAGCTAAAAGTAAAATTGGTGACAGAAAAATGGGCAAACCAAACATTAGTAGCACCGCCTTAGATAGTAACGCAAAACACGTTGTGAATATAGGTTCAACATTTAGTTTCAACGTTGAGTTCTCTAAAAGCTATGGTAAAAAAGATATTGAAAAAGATTTAAAACCATCGACAAATGTGGTTAATTTCAGTACAAGAAAAAAAGTTAAAGAAAGAGGTGTAGAAATAGAAAAAAAGGTTGGACATGTCGACACACAGATAGAAAAAGTAAGAAAAGCCGAAAAGTCCTCTCTTGTTGGACCAATGCTAAAAAGGTGTTTTTGTACTCTTAATTTATATAAAAAGCAAAAGAACGATCTTAATAAAAGAAAGAAATTACTTCATGCAAATACAACGTATACCGTCAATACAGCTTTACTACTAAAACAACAACATTCGTCAATTAATTTAAAGAAAATGCAGGATTTTTATGATGATGTTTCAGGAAAACAGAGTATATTGCGCCTTTTACCATGTAAAAAATATTCCACAAAACAGTCTTTAGAAATTACTTCAAGTTTAAGCTTGGACGTGAAGTTGATCAAAAAATCTTTAAAGGATTCTAAAAACAACTTACAGCAAATATCAGCCGCTCCAAGTAGTTCTTATATTAAAAAAATGGAGAGTCTCACAGTATATGGATTAAGCAAATATTTAAAGCGTTGTTTCTATACAATGAATATGCAAAATGACAGTAAATTTAGAAAACTTGAACCCTACGAATGTGAACCTGGAGTGTGTATCCCAGGCGAATGTGATCCTTATGAATGTCAAAAGCTTATTATGAAGCGATTGGTGAAAGGTTATTCTAAATTATCTAGCACCGATTCCAAGCCCATTTCCATGTCAAGTAGCCAAACCCAGAAAAAACCTTCCCAGTCGCATTTTACAAGTGCAGAATTGAAGTCTCAGCATAAGACTAAAGAACATTATAGACAATCACCTTCCAACGTTACGAAAGTAAAGGGAGCTAAACAATCCGTTCGAATTGGATCCAGTTTCAGTTTCGATGTGGAGTTTAATAAAAGTCGCCCTAGACGTGATAAGCCTAAAAGCTTAAAAAAGAGTAAGGTAAATATTTCAACTAGTCGTTCAGGGGCGAAATCAAAAGGCACGCTTAAAACCAAATCTGCAAAATACAAGAATAAAACAAATTATACAAAGCATGACAGTCGAGAAAACGTTGCTCAAGTTAATACAGAGACCAAACATAATGAGACCAACGCGCAGGATATGAATAGATGTTTTTGTACTTTAAAATTACATAAGAAAAGCAAGGTAAAAACATCAATCGGTCAAAACCAAACTATGCCTCACCAACAAACTGGCATTTTAACTGAAAGCAGAGGACAAAATACAAAAGGTTTTATACGTGATCAACATTTGTTACCATATGAGTGCGAACCAGGCATTTGCATACCAGGTGAATGTAATCCATATGAATGTTTAGCTCGAATAAATAGGAGGAATTTGAAAGAAACGGGTATGGCAACAATAACAACAAGTACTGCCGCTTCCTCCAATACTATTAGACCTAAGAAAAAATTAAAATCTCGTGCGGTCAAAGTGAAAGAAATAAAATCGAAAATTCAGCCAATCCGACGCGTCACATCGGCTGGTAATCGTAAATTAAACAAAACATCAGTCAATACTAACCGGCAAGCTGTAAAAATCGGATCAACTTTCAGTTTTAATATAGATTTTTACAAGGACGCTACACATGCCCAAAAAACAAATAAAGCAGTTAAAGTTCATACAAAGAGATCTAAACAAAGACCCATACAAACAAAGTCTAAAGAAACAAAACATAAAGGTAAAAACATAAGCACTGCATTTCTTAAGTCGCAAACTAAGGTATTACAAACAGTGCAATCGCCACATAAAAATATGGCAACAATGGTAAAGCCGTTCTTAAAGCGGTGCTTTTGTACATTGCAGTTGCGTAACCAACAAAACGCTGCAACAGAATCGAATAAAATTAAGAAAAAAGTATATCGAAGTGTAATGACTATGACGGATAAAAGAAAGCTAGATCCTAATGAATGTGAACCTGGTGTTTGCATTCCTTTCAACTGCGATCCATTTGAATGCGAAAAATTAATTAAAAAGCGATTAAATCAAGAAATGAATGTCAATATGATAGCTAATCCGAATCTGCTTCCCTATGAATGTGAACCAAACTTTTGTATACCTGGGAAATGTGATCCATACGTATGTTTAGAGCGAATAAAAAAAAGAAATATTAAAAGTTCAGAAATTGGTATCGATAAAAAAACTATTGGAGATACTCAAAGCACCTCTGTTCAAAATAAACTTACAAAACTCCAATTTCGGCATCCAAGTATTAAAAAGTCATTGAAGTCGAAACAGACCCTTGAAAATACAAAAACGCAACGCAAAAGCAAATTCAGCAAAGGAGTTAAACGTAGCAATGTGTCGCATCGTACAGTCAGTGATACCGAAATCCATATGAAACCCATGCAACAGTCACAAAAAACACTAAAACAGAAACTTATTCAGGAAGGCAAACCCCACTCAACTAATCAATCACAGACTTTAGCAAATTCAAAATCGATTAAATCTGAAGTTATTTCCAATTTGCAACGATGTTTTTGTACATTGTCTCTCAGAAAAAACATGACTGATAATGATAAGAGTCAAATCGTTAAAGAAAAGGAAATACAAACTGAAAATCAGTGGCCCACTAAAGAATCTGTTACAAAATATGTTGAACCAACCAAATCCACCGCTTCTGCTGTGGGCACTTTTATAAAGAAGTGCTTTTGCACATTAAAACTAAATACACGTAAAGTGCCTAAATCACCTCAAGTGAAACTAAAAATAAATCCGCATAAGCCCAGAAATAAATTATATAAATTAGAACCTTATGAATGTGAGCCAAATACTTGTATACCTGGAGACTGTGATCCATACGAATGTGAAAAACGCATAAGGAAACGACTGTTACGCGAAAACGCAGCGGACCCCATGAAATTAAAATATACTTCCAAATCAACATTTACACCTACTTCAAGAACCAAAAATATGTCTCGAGCTATATTGGCGCCAATGTTAAAAACCAATAATGGCCATACTCATCGAGTACACGGTATCAAGAGCAAATCCTCGAGTGCCAAAAAAGTTGCTAAACATAAACGTGCTTCAGATAATAAACCACAGAATAAACAAAGCGTACGAATAGGGTCTTCGTTTAGTTTCGATATAGAGTTTTTTAAAGATAAATCAGGCGCTAACGGTGATACACCATACCATAGTAAAACAAAAGATGTTATTAATCGATCGCAAAGTCGTACTACAAAAGTAAACAAAGTGCAAAAGTATACAGGGAATAACAAAAAAATCCCAAAGATTGGGAAGGCACAAGGAACAACAATCAGAATTGGGAAATATAATGCCTCTCAATTGGCTCACTCACAAACGAAATCAAGTAGTACTATAACAGACCCCATGCTCAAAAGGTGTTTTTGTACTTTACAACTACAAAATGCTGCAGCTGAAAATAATAATCAAAACATACCTCGCCAAAGAGAACAACTGCAAACTCAAAATAAAACGACGCACACTAATGTATCATACAACATGTTATCTCCTTATGAATGCCCTCCTTTTATGTGTATCCCAAATCAATGTGACCCCTATGATTGTGCAAGAAAACTTGAAAAATTAAAGGTACGTAACCAAGGAATTGGAACGAAAGAAAGAAGGAGAATGCACCAGTCGGTGGAAGTAAAACATTTACCAAAGCAAAAAAAGAGCCAGAAAACTCAGTCTTATAAGATTAAAAAACTACCAACTCACGAAAATGAACAAGGTATTGTTGAAATACCGCGGTTTACTAATTATTTAAAAAAAGAAAATAGACAAGGTGTGAAATTTGGCTCAAATATGTCTTTTAACATAGAGTTCTACAAAGAGTTTTCATCGCCTACACCGGTAGAGATAAGAAAACTTAAGTCAAAAGAAAATAAAATATATACAATGTCAAAACCACTAATAAATAAACATGTTGACTCTAACGTAATTAATAAACGAAAACGCTTTGCTGACAAGGTTGTACCATCTATAAGATCTGATGCTCGTAATACAGAGTCTCAAGTATATAAAAATAGCGTTGACAGCAAAGGTTCTAATACAACAAATATATTAAAAAGATGTTTTTGCACATTAAAACTGCAAAAAAATAAAACCGCATCCAATGTGCCATATCCACAAACATTTGAAGTACGAAGAGCAGTGGTCAAGAAATATAAAGAAAATCCTATAAAAGAAACATTTTCTAAAGTGAAGTGTGTGAATATACAAGGTGTCTGTAAAAACATCAAAACACATTCTCAGGATACACAACCAAAACACAATGAAATGCAAACTATTTTGTCATATAAGCCCAAAAAATTTAATAAAAAATATAGCGAAACCTTGGTGATAGAAAACAATATCAAGACCCAATCAAACAAGAAGCGAATAACATGGACAAGTAAAAAAAGACTTACAAAAAAACAAAGTGCACATCCAATTAATGTGTCAACTAAACCTCGTTCTTGCAATATTAGTCCAACACAAATGCACCAAAGGACGTACAAGGATCAAACAACACAAGGGCTAAAACACCGTCAACGGCAGGCACGAAGTGATGACATAAGAAGTTCATATAGTGATCGTCGTGCAAAAGTATTACAAAGTATACCTAAAATACGAACATCAAAAAGTCTAATGCTGTCCAAAAGAAGTAATACTAAAAAATCGAAAGACATATATAACAATATCCATATAGTTGGAAATCAGTTTGAAGCTGGTGATGCTAAGGGCAAAAATTTAAAATTTGGATGTCAATGTTTACTAAAAAATAAAAATAGGATCTCAACAAATATAAATGAAACAAAACATAAAAGTAAAGAGTCCAGTAATAAGGTCAAAAGAGTGAAACTTTCCGAGATACCAAAAGAAGAAATGGTTGTTAAGAAGGATGGACCATGTCCATATTGTGGTCAATGTGTTAAAGGTGGAATAGGTCATATCTGCTTAACTAAGATTGATTCTTGCATGCAAAAAATTAAGCAATGGTCTTCTAAACAAAAAGAAAACGCAATAGCTGCTTTAATAGGAAAGAAAGAAATGAAATCTAAAGAATTAAAACCATTATTTAATGTTTATCTAGAAGCAGATGGCATGAGTATTATTAATAAAGAAGAAGTTACAGAAAAGGTGACAAGATTACAAACCAAAGGAAAGAAAGAAAAGACACATGATAAATTTTGTACGTGTTGTCTATGTCTTGCCAAAAAAGGAAAGAAAGGCAAGATGAAAGACAATATCAAAAAAGAGGCTAAAAAATCTCGAAAAAATAAGCGTAAAGATGAACCCATATGTGTTTGTGGAAGTAAAGTTTGTGCTAAAGACGTAAAACGTGAAAAGAAACTACCTACAAAGAAAAAAGAGAAGATGCCATGTTTCTGTGGAAGTCCTATTTGTGCTGAAGAAACCGCTATGATGGAAGCTATAGCTGAAGGTCCAGCTTCTTGTATATGCCAAGAAGAATATGAAAAGAGAAAAGAACGTGATAAAGAAGATTTCTTTAACATACATAGGCTACTATCAGCCAAGTATCGAAAAGAAGATTCAGAGAGGCGGAAAAAGCGACGTAGAGCTGACCAACGTATGGAAGAATCGATCCGAGGTACTAAAAATGATGCATTATTGGTTGCAGGATCAGTTTTTGATGTGGCAAAATTAGGTTTCTCGGGTGTTTCTGATATACTTCGAATAGTATATAGATGTGGCAGACACCCGAAACATACTTGGCATTCTATGAAGGCCATGGCAAAGGATCCCAGTTTGATTGGCAAGACATTAAAAGATGCTTATAGTGACAGCAACGTAGGTGCAACGACCAGGAGAATTGGTATGCGCATTTCAAATATGGGATCATTAGAAAAAACCAAAAAACTATTAGAACAAAACGCTACGACAAATTATATATTGCACATAGCTGATAAAAATCCAAAGAAGCATTTACGCAAAAGGAAGAAACCACGACCCAAGGACCAGGTTGACTCTAATTGCAACCTATATTTAAGTTCTTTAAGAAAGAAGAAGTTTATGTGGATATTTAATAGGTGGCCTTCATTCTACCCGCACTGTCTTTCTTTTCTTAACGTTTGGAAGCAATTTGCAGAAGTTATGACTTTTCTATTAGCTGTTGTCGTTTGGAGTCCCTGTATATTTGCAATGGAAGTTTGTAGAGCCGTTATCTGTTGCACGATGTGTACTGGGTAAAAATTAATAAAATTGTTCGTTATTCAAAAGTATTTTTTATTACTTGACATACGTTTCAAACTACGCTACAACTGCAGTAACAGTACTCTTATCTTCATACTTTAATTGATGGGAGTAACTCCTATATATTTTTACGTTAATTAATAATGGCGACGATCAGAATCAGAAAACCTTTATCGGCATGTTAACGATAACAATAAATAAAGAACTAGTTAGAGAAGCCCGTAGTATTTCCTTCGGTTATCTTTAAAATGCTACAAATAAATGAATTTAAAGGGAATGAGACGCAATGTGTTCAGTGTGCGAAAACAAAAGAGAGCGGTATCGACCAAACCCTCAAAAGTGAGGGCCATCACTAGGGTTGTCAAGATTAAATTAATTTATATTTTTTCGTTTAACTTTTATATAGGTACTAGACTAGTATATGAGTCGTAAATTTTTAAAAGAAATAAGTTTTTTTTTATAATATTATATTTACCCTATAATATTATATTTACTTCAACCATTTATTAATATACAAATTATTTGTTTTTTTGCATTGATAATTCATATATTGTACAAAGTAATAGATATACCCAAATTATTAGTTATTTGTAAACAAAACTACAGATGTGTCAACCCTAGCTGCCACCCTCTTTATGACTCAGAGGGGAGGACCCTTGCACGTAGGTACAGACCCTCTGTACAGAACATGCACTCTATTGATCTGGGGTATTTGGGACTATCTAATAAGTTTTTGACCTATCGAATTTCGGTTAGTATTCAAGGGTTGAGGTCGGGTTCGAAATTAAAACTTAAAAATGACCATAGAGAAAATCGTTTTTTTATACAAACTTACATAATATTGCTTAAAATAGTTTCTATATTATTATATTGTAAAATTGAAGGAGTTGTTAATTTTAAAACTTACTTGAATTATGGTTAAAAGCCCAACTTCTCGGAAGTTGAAGAACTTTGATACGATTTAATCAACTTTCAGGAGTATAGCTATATTTATTTTTTATTAAATTATTTACTTACTAAATTAATTTTAATTAATACTTAAAACGCTGGGTAATGTTTGTAATAATTTTCATAAGGAAACCGGTAATATGGGTCCACCAAATTATAATTACAAGTTTTTTGGTTATATTCATATAGTCTTTCTAGTTACTCATACATACAAATTTAGCTGTACATATAATATTATCCATAAAAATACATTTGTTTTTTCAAATAATCATAATATATACTAATTAAAAAAAATTATAATTCCGTGTAATAGCAGAAATCATCATTTGCCACTCGCCATTTTGAGTCTACATCGGGCATAGAGTAAATGGTTTCCCGCCAAAATGTTGTTTTGAACAAATTCAACATGGCGGCGGTTTGCGCGCCTCTTTACGATCGCCGTGTAAATTACGTTCGTTCGTAAAACTTTTATGTCCTTCGTGTTCGCGTCGGCTTCATGTATTATGTATAAAGGTATATTATTAACAGCTATTGCTTAAAAGCACGTATGATTAAAAGTTTAGACTTAGGACTACTGAATAGGTAATATAATATCTTTATAATCAATTTATATTTAAGTTTAATTTGACAATTCAAATAATAACTGCTATGAAACGAATGAATGCAATGTAACTGTTGAAGAGAGTGCCTATGTCTGGCAATACTCTCGGGGCGTAACGTCGACGATTTAGATAATCGCCACGCTTATAAAACTAAGAAAGCCTGAGTGAGCAAAATGTACACTGTACAGTGTACAGCCTTGACTCGTACAATTACCATGCGGTAACACGGGTCCTTTTATGACTATAAAATTATACATACTTAATAGGTTATAAATAGGTGATTTGAAAAATAAGATTTATACAAATATGTTATGTAAGTTGCAAACAGCAAAACTTGCGTAAGCTCGGCATGTCAACGAAACGGATTATCCGCAAATACGTGAGTGTGACCATTAGCCCGTAAAAGTGCTTAGATTTACGCGCCAAGTTTGTTTACGACAAATCGATTTGGTGATTCACGGAGCCGTTCTGCCAACTTTTACATACAGTTTCATACTTGTAAAGGATAAATAATACTTATCTTACCTATGTATAAATAAAAGTTTTGCTATTCTCAAAATGTATACAGTATTATATTAATAACGTATATTTCTTAGATGAGTGAAATATAAGTAGTCGATTCCTACATAAAATAAAGTTGTAGCAAAAATCTCTATTGATTCGCGAACATACTCTTGCTGTTGGCTATTCGGATGTTATGTGACACCGAACCAATTCGACTTAGAGTCCTTTAAAAAAAAGAGCGTACCAATTCTTGAAAGGCCGGCAACGCACTTGCAAGCCTTCTGGCAATGTGAGTGTCCATATCACTTAACATCATATGAGCCTCCTGTCCATGTGCCTTCTATTAAATAAAAAAAACCGCCGCCCATAGACAGTTACATTGCTAGAAAATTCGTTAAAAGTACGTTGCTGGCCTTTTAAGGTTTGGTACGCTCTTTTCGTGAAGAACCCTAAGTCAATTTGGTTGGTTTGGTTTCAAATTGGTTCGGAAATAAGTCGAATCGATGGTTTAAAAGTTCTAGATTATATTTAAGGTTTTAACCTAATATAAATTCATATCATAATTCATAACCTATTTGAATAAATCAAGAAATTTTAACGTTACGCTTATCAGTAAAGTCCATTGATCACATTTATCATGAGATATTTCCTTTAATATCCTGAAATTTATCTAAGGATTACATTGGGAGCGATTTAGTTTTGTCCACAGACAAAAACCATAAATCCACAGTTTTTTAATTCGTTTAAAAACCCGACTTTGTTACCGCAGAATATTACAAGCATAGTGGGTTATTTAATGGCAAAACTTGTGCCAAAATAATTATCCCCGACATTTCAACTCGGTCCTATGAATATTAAATGAGATTTCGCATTCAAGTACACTCCTGATTCTTTTTAAAACAGTTCTTATGTTCAAGATGGCGACTTCCAAATTGTAATGTCAAATGAATAATGTAATTTCCCGCCTATTATTTTAATTTTATCCCCAATTTTTCTGGAACACGCTTTAAGATATGCTTTGTATAATCACAAGCTATCGCTCTTTGGAATTGTTTATGCAGTTTTCACTTCGTTCGAGTAGGATTCCCGGGAAATAATTCCGTTAAAAATCACGTGTTTTTCTGAAATATATTACCGAAGTCATGCCCAATGCCCCTTTTTACAAGCCCTCGACTTTTGCTTTTGCGTAAAAAGTAACAAACATTCTGTATGAACGTCTATGTTTACTAGCCTTATAACACGCTCCTTAATCGCAGAGATAGAGAAAGTGTGGCAGTTTAAAAATTATTTTAAATAAACATTCTTAAAGTTATAACATTTTACACGATTTCCTTCATATGACAAATGGCATTCCTGGGACCATATGCGTGAAAAACTTTACCGAGCATTGAACATTCTTTACTAGATCTGTAGATCATTATTCTTACTCCACAACCGTTGTAAAACGTACATCGGAAAAACTAGTCGGATGCAAAAGGCTTGCGCATACGTTCCAGGCAAGGTTTTTGTCTCGGGCTGATCACAGAGCATTGACCTATCGAAACGCGCGTAACGAACGCAAAAAGGAAGTGCAATTTATCTTTTTACAACTGAAGCTTGTAAAAAGTTTGTTAATGGAATCTTTCAATTCGCATTTTCTGTAATGATTGTCTTATGTTTTAAATCATTTGAATCAAGGGTATCAATACTCGAGCATGCAAAATGTTAATGCCCTTATATACGTCGTTATATTTATTATATATTTATCTTTATTGCTCTTGTTTGATTAGGATTATATAAACGTGACTTAAAGTTAACTAATTGAAGTTCTCAAATTAATGACTTTATCCAAACAAGTAAAAAATACCAAAAAAAAGTTACGTTTTTGAAACCGTAAAAAAGGTAAAAAAGAATAGAGAGTAAGAAGATATTTGAACATGATTGCAACTGACCAATTATTATTGTTTGTTAAACTCTTACACCTCACTACATTTGAAATGGAATTTTGAATTAAACGGCTTTCAAGCTAAAACCAGTGCGTATTTCATAACATAAATCATAGTAGAAAACCAGTTCTTTTGGTCTTCCAAAACAGTGGAAAGTAGATCGATATCTCAATATCAATAAATCTTGCAAATGGTCACCATTAATCAGAAATATTATCATCCGTACGTGATTGTGAGCAGTTTGGCCGTTGAAAAGGCGAAATCTGTAGCCAATTAACACGCGGGTCACGCCCTTGATGTGATTTCATAAATTACGTTTCAAATATGTGATGGAAAATTGTTAAAATTCTCGTCTGGAGCACCTGAAGTACGATGAAAGTTGGATTTATAATTTGCGTTGAATTTTTAAATATAGCTTTTAAATTTAAATAAATTTGACATATTTTGTTACTACAAAATCTCTCACTCTTGCAGATTGGAGCAAAAATAATATTTTTTCAAGGGTGTCGACTCGGAATTATAAACCCATTTATTTTATTAGGGACAGGACAAAATAAACATAACCTACCAGTATGCATGGTAAATGAAAGTGGATGAAACGTAGCATGCATTGAACCAGGGTTTCTGCCTACTCCTTTGGGAAAAGGGCGTGACTGTATAGATAGATATTTAATTATTTACAGGATATCTACGCCAAATTTTATTAAACAATATTATATAAAGACACAAAAAGAATAAATAATAAATAAATCAGTGGCGCTACAACCTCTTTAGGTCTTGGCCTCAGATTTCTGAATCTGTTTCATGATCATTTTTAAATCTAATAAGCAAGTACGTGATCAGCCTCCAGTGCCTGAAACACGCCGTCGACTTTTTGGGTCTAAGACATGTCGGTTTCCTCACGATATTTTCCTTCACCGTTCGAGCAAATGTTAAATGCGCACAAAGAACAAAAGCCCATTGGTGCACAGCCGGGGATCGAACCTACGACCTCAGATATGGGAGTCGCACGCTGGAG